TACTTTTTCTGTTTCACACAATGTTATACATGTGTGTTTAAGAACACATGATCTAAGCTTGATAGTGATGATTGTTACACAACTCTATAAATATACTTGTGTGGTCCAGGCAGCATGGCTCAATGGTTGAACATCCACCTATGAACTAGGAGGTCACGTTCAATTTCCTATCGTGCCATACACCTGGGTTGTGTCTCAATCCCCAGTGTGAGGTGTGCAGGAGGCAGCCCATCAATGATTCTCTCTCATCATTTATGTTTCTCTCTCTTTCTCTCCCTCTCCCTTCCTCTCTGAAATCAATAAAATTTTTTTTAAATATGTATATATATATATATTAAAAAATATATATAATGAAATATTATATATTGGGTTTCTGTGGTTGCTGATCCCAGCTAAGGATATTTCTGTGGTGTAAGTCGAGTCCAATGGTAAATTCCAGGTTTTCTTAAGGAACATCTGGACACCTTCTTCCGGCCGCCCCTGCCTGCTGAGAAGGCAGAAGCCATCAGGAAGATGGGCTTTGGGACCAACAATAAGATCTTCCTGGAGTTCGAAGAGCCCTTCTGGGAGCCGGACTGCGAGCACATCCAGGTGGTGTGGGAGGACACATCTCCCCTGGAGGACACCGCTGCCCCGATGCAGGACGCCTGGGTCAAGAAGCTGATTGGCTTCTTGGTCCTGCCTTCCTTTGAGTATGTCCGCGCCCCCTTTCTCTGAGGAAGCCTGGGCGCTGAGCGGGGCTGGCTCCTCGGCGTCGTTTGGGTGGGGGATCCAACAGTGTGTTGATCTCCTGTGAGGTGTCTGGAGGGCTTAATGGTGGGGATCCTGAGAGTGCCCAGAGGGCTGAGGACAGACAGACCGCCTGGGCCTAACCCCTGGGGGGCAGATGGGCACACGCTGGGTGTGGCTTGTCAGCATTGCCAAGGCCCGGAGCGTGCCAGTGGACGGAGGGCATGTTTAGTTGGTAAGAAAGTATTTGCTGAAATCCAGGCTTGTAGGTCACAGAAGAAGTCTGAGACGTGGGCATGTCTATAACGGGAGGCAGTGCTTAAACCCGATGCGGTAATTAAACAAAGCATCCTTGTAAGCCCCGGGATCGGAGACCCTCACTTGAAGGGCTAAGTTGTGTGTCCCAGACGTGCAGCCTACACACAGCAACATGTGTGGGCTTGGTGCTCACTCAGAAATAAGAACATGAATCCTTAGGGAGGGAGAGACTGATGTTTCCGGCAAAGCCCGACATGGCTTGTCTCGGCGGTGTGTTCTCCACGTAGGTCTGCCCACGTCCTCTGCGGGTTCATCGCCGGACTTGAGTCCGAGTTCATGGAGACGCTGTCGGACGAGGAGGTGCTTCAGGCTCTGACCCGCGTGCTTCGCCGGGTGACAGGTACGGGCCGCGCATGGCCCCGGCTCTGCCTCGCGCTCCTTGTTGTGTGGTCGCTAAAGGGCAACCAAGCTTCCTGACAGGGAAGCGCTGAGTTTGCCTCCAGGAACCTCCAGGGACGATCCTTCCTTATACTGGTGGGGTCACTCATCTGAGTTCTTGTTGAAATGGTTTTGCGAACACTTTCTTTCCACTTCCCTTTTCTAAAACACAGCTGCCCTTCATCAGGGCTTTCTAGATGAGACGTGGAGGCTCAGGCAGAGCACAGTGACCACATGGTCACAGGGGAGTGGAGGTGGGAGGGTGAGGATGCAGTGATGGCGTCCCCAGTTGGACAATGGATAAGACTGGGAGAGCCTCTTATTCATACACTTCATGGCTTGGTTTTCTTCCTGGGCAGTTTCTTTCATTTTGAGCTGCTCAGTCTTGAAAACGAAGGCCCCATTGCAGACTTGTGGGAGGAGCCCCGGTTCACGTGTGGCCTCTCTGTGCTTCAGGGAATCCACAGCTCCCTGCGCCCAAGAGCGTGCTGAGGTCTCGCTGGCACAGCGCCCCCTACTCCCGAGGATCCTACAGCTACGTGGCCGTGGGCACCAGCGGGGATGACATTGACCTGCTGGCTCAACCGCTCCCTGCGGACCCAGAGAAGGCCCCGGTATGAGGGGGCCCCTGGGTGGGAAGGCACCGGGGTCCCGCTGGAACATGAGAGTGTGGGTGGGGCTGGGACCCCTGAGACTCAGAATCACTTATTTTTTTTTATTTTTAATTTTTATTGGTTTCAGAGAAGAAGGGAAAGGGAGAGGGAGACAGAAACATCAACGATGAGAGAGAATCATTGCCTCCTGCGCACCCCACACTAGTGATCAAGGCCACAACCCGGGCATGTGCCCTGACTGGGAATCAAACTGTGACTTCCTGGTTCATAGGTCGATGCTCAACTACGGAGCCATGCCGGCCAGAAGAATCCCCCCACCCCCTTTTTTGCCCCTGAAATTAAGAATACTTTGAAAATGTATTATTTTCATCAGAAGTTTACATCCACGTAGCCCCAGGGCACATGCTCATGTGGCTCCCCAGGGCTTCATTCAGGACGGGCGTCCCAGTGGACTGGGCGGCTGCATTGCCCTCTGTGGCCACGCTGAGAAATCAGAAGGCACCATCCTGGGGCAGACCTGGACCCTATCTTTCTGTAGGAGTCTCCTAGTTTGGGTATAAAATCGTGGTTTGAGAGTCATGCCCCTCAGGGTTTGGAACATTTTCCAGTGTTGCTGTCGGGAAGTCCAAAGCCATTTGCCGTCCTTTCTTAGTCCTTTCTTCCTAGTGTCCCAAACTCCCAGGAAGCTTAGAAGAGCATTAGGCTCCAATGCCCATGGGCATGCCACCCTCGCTGGGCGCCCACTCACTTCATATGGCTTGCCTTGAGCCCCTCAGTCAGCTGCGAAGTTCTTGTGATTCATCTCATCTTCTCTTCTTTCTCTTCTTTTCTCTTCCCCCTCCCCGCCCCCCAAGATTTCTGTTGTTTGAATGGTAGACTTCTGGACTGGTCCTCAAATATTCTTACCTTTTTCTCTCCTCATTTCTATCTCTGTTTTTTGGTCTGCATGTTGGGGGATGTTCTCCGCCTTGTCTCCCAGGCCCGCTGTTGCATTTTCCATTTTGTGATCACATTTAGTCCCGAATGTGTGCTGTGTGAGCCCTGTTTCTGCAAGAAGCACCCGCTCTTTTTTTTATATATATATATTTTATTGATTTTACACAGAGAGGAATTAAGAGAGATAGAGTTAGAAACATCAATGAGAGAGAGTCATCGACCAGCTGCCTCTTGCACATATCCCCACTGGGGATGTGCCCACAACCAAGGTACGTGCTCTTGATCGGAATCGAACCCGGGACCTTTCAGTCCGCAGGCCGACGCTCTATCCACTGAGCCAAACCAGTTTCGGTGCACCTGCTCTTGTTTTGTGGCCACATCAGGGTGTGTGGTTAGGTGAGGAACAAAGCCACCTCCCCACCCTCAGCTCTGCAGCCACACGTAGAAGGCAGGTGGCTTGTTGCTCGACCCCAGCACCCTGATCTAACCCCACCCTTTTCCGCAGCTCCAGATCCTGTTCGCAGGAGAAGCCACCCATCGGACGTTTTACTCGACCACGCACGGGGCTCTGCTCTCCGGCTGGAGGGAGGCTGACCGGCTCATCGAGCTGCTGGACTCCGAGGCACAGCTGCAAGGCCCCAGGCTCTGAGCCAGCCCGCTCCTCCCTTGCCAGGGGAGGCTGCCACATCCTGTCCTCTGTCCAGCCCGGCTGAGACTTGGGATGTGTTCATACGGGTCACTGCTCTCATTTTTCACGACTGTCACTGGATCGGCCATGGCTGAACTGGAGCTGGGGGAGAGAGGGAGGAGTCTTCCTGGAGAAGTGGGACAGGTGTGACCAGCTGTTGATGCTGGGGTTCACATAAAGTGTGTCAAAACCTCCGTGTCCAGAGTCGTCCTTATGCCTCAGGGCTGCAGCATCTGTGGCTTCGCCTTCGACCCCCCGCGCCCTCCCTGCCCAGTCATTGCAGGGCCCTGGACTCTGGGTGCTGTGCTTGCCCCTTGTCCTGGGCATCTTCAGGTGTTTCTGAGGGCCAGCAAGTGGGAGATGGGAGGGCACAGGAGGCACCCCGTCCTGAGGGCTTCTGGAGGAAGTGAACAATGAGGCCTCAAGGGTGCAGAGGGACAGGGTAGCCGGGTGAGTGAGGGTGAGGGAGGAGAGTGTGCTAGGGGTGCTCTGGGCGATGTTGGGGTGTGTTGGCATAGCCCCTATCCTTCCTGTCTTGGGTCAAATCCCCTGCCCCGGAGCTGTATGTGTGCCCCCGGCTTTGTGCCGCTGGAGCAGTTTTGCTTGGACAGCTTCCAGGCAGAAAGCTGTGAGAGGAGCCCAGACTTCAGCAGGGGTTTGTTTCCGGTTCATGGTCCGAGGCTAAGAAACGACGCAGCTCCCATCAGATGCACAGTTATGGATGGTTAACGCCCACCGTTTCATCAAGGCATGAGGCCTGGGGAGGCATTTCTGTATCCCAAAAGGCAGAGGCAGGATGCAGGCTGCTGAGTGAGAAGAAACTGGGGAGATGGGTCCTCACAGGGTCCTGACTCATCAGGAGGCTCATCAGCAGGGAGGCCACCTGGCAGGACTTGTCTCTGCGCCAGGGGCGGTTAGCGCTGAGTGTTAGGGAATTTAAGACCACCAAGACCCCCGTGAAGATGTTTTTGTGTTGAGAATCTGAGCATGTTGAATTTTAGGAGCTCGTTTCAAAACTCCCGTTAGAGGAATAGTTTTGTAACTCGGTGTGCGACTGAGTAGTTGCTGGGAGCCCGACCGGGTCACAGGGACAGTGAGGACTGGCTGGATAACTCATTGTGTCACTACACTCAGTGTCTGCCACATTAGAACCTGGAGCACTTGGGGGCGGGGGATAACACATTCACACGGTAAACTTGAAAATCGTAACCAGGTTTGTAAAGAGGAGACGAGACCGCGAAACTCCCGCCCCGGCGCGGGGCCCCGCCCCTTAGGCCCCGCCCGCCGCTGGAGGCCGCGTTGTGCGCACGCGCGGGGCGCTGAGTGTCACTCAAGCGCCGGAACCTCGGAGCGCCGGAACCTTCGGCCGCGGCTGCGGGCCCCGCGGGCAGGTCCGTGGCCGGAGCGGCCCCCCGCGCTGCGCGGTGTGCGGGACGCGGCGCGATGAGGCTGGCCCCGCGCGCCCTGTGCAGCGCCGCCGGGGCCGCCTGGCGGGAGAGCTTCCCTCTGGGGAGCCACGATGTGGCGCGCTGGTTCCCGGGCCACATGGCCAAAGGTGAGGCCCGGCGCCCCGCCTGATTCCTGATTCCCCGCAAGGCTAAGGGGACCGACCAGACGTCCCGCTTTTGGCGGGACAGTCCCGATTTCCAACAATTTGTCCCGCCTCCCGCGGCGTTCTAAGAAAGTCCAAAATATTTAAAAGAATCTTTCCAAAAATCGGGACTTTTTAAAAACGCTGCGGGACTCGGGACCAATTGTTAAAAATCGGGACGTCTGATCACCTTAGGAAAGGCCCTCCTGCCACTTTATTTCCCGAAGTCTCAGTGTCTACATCTGCTTTTAGAGGAAGTAATATTCCTGGGTATTATTTTGAGGACCAAAAGGACTAGGGGCAGGAAAGTACTGTCCAAAAGTGCTTTCACTGCAGCACCTTAAAGTAGTCATTTCTTGTCTCCTGCCTAAACCCCTCTGGGAGGTTCTTCGTGTTTGTCAACATGTGGTCCTCAGAGACTTTTGGGACCCGCCCAGCTCCTCTCCGTGTCCTGGTTGCCACTGGCCTCCCTGCTCCAGGCCTCGGAGTCGCTCAGATTCACCTTAAATAGTGACCCAGTGCCCGCTGTGCCAGGCTCCTGCCAAATGCTGGAAGAAGGGGTGAGGTGAGAGGTTTGAGGCAGGGTACTGCTGTTGAACTTGAAGGAAAGGCCCAGCAAATGGTTATCAGTCATCCTTACTTGAGCACATCCCTCAGAGATGTTCTTTTTAGGCGATTGTGGTGTCATTCTTGACCGATCAGCTTAAAGGTTGTAGCACTCTTGAAGGGCCTCGGACCCCTTGCCTCTTAGGTGTTCTATTTTCCAGGGCTGAAGAAGATGCAGAGCAGCCTGAAGCTGGTGGACTGCATCATCGAGGTCCATGATGCCCGGATATCCTTTGCTGGTTGTGATATTGGAACTTACATTAAGAAATACATATTTAGCCTTTGTCCCCATTTTTGGCTGGAGCTCCAAAAACTCTTGGAATGTCCTAAGACAGTGGTCGGCAAACTCAATAGAGCCAAATATCAACAGTACAACGATTGATATTTCTTTTGAGAGACAAATTTTTTAAATTTAAACTTCTTCTAACGCCACTTCTTCAAAATAGACTTGCCCAGGCTGTGGTATTTTGTGGAAGAGCCACACTCAAGGGGCCAAAGAGCCGCATGTGGCTCAAGAGCCACAGTTTGCCGACCGTGGTCCTAAGGGATGAGAGAGACTAAGGTATCCTTTGTTATGTTAATGAGATGGCTTTTGGAAAGCCCCTCAGGACTGGGTGGGTTCCTGGGAACCCGTCTGATTTGGGTTCCAAGTTCTAATCCCTGACCTCTAGGAGGGAGAGGGGCTGGAGGTGGAATTGGCCTCCAGTGGCCAGTGATTTCATCTTGCCTGAGTAATGAAGCTGCCATAAAATCCAAATGAGGTTCAGAGAGCTTCTGGGTTGGTGAACACGTGGAGATTTGGGGAGAGTGGTGCCACAGAGAAGACTTGGGGGTCTCAGTGGTCACCGGAGGAGGCAGTGACGGTGTGAGAGACACTAATTAGGACGTCACTTTTCTGGGTGATCAGATACTCATTTTGAACTTTCATACCTTGACAACCAAACAATGGTGTATAATAGTTTTAAAATCTCGCACTGAGTTGTGTTTTCGTCACCATCATTCCCATTTGAGAAGCCACGTGAGAGCTACTGCCCTGCCTGTCGCCTCTTCGCTACAGGGAGCACTGTCCGTGGCTCCGTGGCTGTGGGGGAGGGAAGCACAGGGGCTGGGTTACAGCTCCCAAAAAAGTGATCTGGGTGTGTGCTCGCCCTGAGACGGCTCCTTCTAATAACAATTTCCTTCTGAGCTGGTGTAACCTGGGCAGCAAGACAGAATAAATTAACCAGCTGGTAAAAGCTCTGAAGGAATTTTTGCCTTAATTTTGCCACATCCCATTTTCGGGCCGCAACCCTCTGTTTCAGGAAACCCTCGGGATTAAGCCTCACTTGCTCGTCCTCAACAAAATGGACTTGGCGGATCTGACGGAGAAGCAGGTAAGGCCGCTCCGCTGCCTCAGCCCTGGCTCGCTTGGCCCTGGTGACAGTCGCTGCTGAGACACTTGAGTTTGCCGGCCAGGCAGGCAGGCAGGCAGGCTTTGGCACTCGCCCTTCGCCTGCGTGCTTCCTCTAACGTGTGATTTATGGTCCCAGTCATTCATGTGTGTCTCCCAGGGGAAGTGGCCAGGAGGTGCTGCTGGAGCCCAGGGCCCACATGTGACTCTGAGCACTTGAAATGTGGCTCTTGTGGCTGCAGAATTGACCTTCACATGATTTCGTTTTCATTAGTTTAAGTTTCAGTGGCCACAGGAGGCTGTTGGCCGCAGGTCTGGGCAGTGCTGGCCTGGAGGTCTCCTGTGCTGGCTGCTTTCCCCCGGGTGTCCACATTCACCAATTCCAGGGCCTTCCAGACCCCCGGCCTGGCTGCAGATCGCCTCCTGCCTGCTGTGTGACCGGAAGGTGCCCTTGACCGGAATGGAACCCGGGACCTTTCAGTCCGCAGGCCGACGCTCTAGCCATTGAGCCACACCGGTTTTGGCTACTTTCAGTCTTTTAAAGTATTCCATATACTTTATAATCAGACTGGGTTCAAACCTTAAAGTGGAGTTCACTTTGTGAAAGCTTGTTAGAATGCACAGGAGTGACGAAAATACTAACGGGAAATGAAGCTAGTATTTCAGCGCCCGATGCGGCTCCAGAAGAACCTAGGTTAGCCTCATCTTATAAGAAGGCCCTGCGGTCCCAAGGAGGTGGGACGCTCACCTCCGGTGGAGCCCAGAGCCCTCGGACTGAGACCGGCTCTGCCCTCCTGTCCTTCCACGGAGCCAGGGGTGGGGCCAGGCTGCCCTCTCAAGTCCCCTCACACAGTCTGCACTCCCCTCCCTCGGTGCCCTGTCACCTGAGTCCCCACGTCTGGCCTAATCCTCCCTGCGTCCCCAGCCCCGGAGGCTCTGAGCCCAAACGCACGCGTGGGCAATCTCAGATCCTCAGACCGTAGGGTGTTATGCCACCCCTATTTTTACTTAGTATTAAAATAGAAATATCTCTTTCAGAAAATTTTACGACACTTGGAAAGAGAAGGCCTAAAAAACGTCATTTTTACCAACTGTGTCAAGGATGAAAACATCAAGCAGGTGGGCTTTTCTGTTTTACACTCAAACCTTCCGCTGAGGGACTTGGAGAAAACACTGCCGAATGTCCTGTGCTTTCATAGAGGAGAGTTTTGGAGGCAACCCAATGGTTTGCTGGGATTCCGGGGCGCACTTGTCTCCCGGTGCCCAGAGCAGATGGGCCTGGGCAGCCCGATGGTCTGAAAGGGCAGAATCAGCTGTAAAATACACTTCCGGTCACAAGTAGGAAGGGCCTTTGGAGAGTGTAGGACCTATGTGTGCCAATTGTGTCGGAGAATTTCACTGGCTAGTGTGCATCTTTGTGACCAGGAGTTGTCACCCTCCTGGGATGGGACAGGACGGGTAGTCCCCCCTCCATAGGGCATCTAAATCCTTGATGTGGATAGAACCCGAGTGTGCCACCTCCAGAAACCAGGGGAGAAGCCCGCTTCCTCACGGGAGTGCCTGTGTGGTTGTTTTGTTGCAGGTCGTCCCCGTGGTCACGGAGTTGATTGGAAACAGCTACCGCTACAACCGCGGAGAGGTTGGTTGATGGCACTGGCCCTGGGGCAGTCGTTCTGCTGAGGAGCCCGAGGCTCACCTGCTGAACACAGTGGCCAGACTGAGCCCTTGGCACAAACATGAGCCTCTCCTCACTGCCCCCTGCAGGAAGGGTGGGGGCTGTCGGGGTGGGCAGGCCTCTGCAGTGACCTTCCTTCCCCCTCAGCTGGCCTAGGTTCCTGGGTCCCGTGGCGTGGGCTGCTGGGGCTCCCAGTGGGGATCTGGTTGTATCCCTGACGGTCACTGTTCTGCCTCTCAGAATATGGAATTCTGCATCATGGTGATTGGCGTCCCCAATGTGGGCAAGTCCTCGCTCATCAACTCGCTCAGGAGACAGCACCTCAAGAAAGGTACTGCCGGCCACATCGGCTGAGGTTGCGACGTCCTCATCCTTCCTTCCGAGCAGCTGCTCTTGTCCTGAGACGAAACTCCGCCCATAAGCCCTCGGGCACAGCCCTCAGCTGGCCTCTCCTCCAGAAGGACCCAGTTAGCGCCTGCTGAGGGGTTACACGGTGAGAGAGTCCTCCCGTGACATTTCACACTTAATTTGTTCTCTCTCTGCTTGATGCCTGGATGACAGTTCTAATGTTGGTGATTTTGTCTTTTCATTTAAGTTTTTTTTAAAAAATGTATCTTTATTGATTTCAGAGAGGAAGGGAGAGGGAAAGAGAGATAGAAACATCAATAATGAGAGAGAATCACTAATGGGCTGCCTCCTGCACGTTCCCTATTGGGGATCAAGCCCAAAACCCAGGCATGTGCCCTTGATCGGAATGGAACCTGGGACCCTATGTGGTGAGCCACCCTCAGTGCAGCCACAGCCCTGTGGTTGTGCCGACACTCTATCCACTGAGCCAAACTGGCTAGGGCTTCATTTAAGTTTTTGATCCATTGTCCCCAACGTGTTACACAGCCCATGGGGTCTGATGTCAGGCAGGGGTGTTGGGAGCCTGCATGGGGATCACATCTGGGAGCCCCGGGCTGTCTCCCTGCTTCGTGCATGTTCTCTGATTTTGAGGCACACAGGAGTGTCCACAGTATTCTAACTGTGCCTGTCCCCTTTTCTTAAGTGTTTTTTAAAAATATATATTTTATTGATTTTTTACAGAGAGGAAGGGAGAGGTATAGAGAGCTAGAAACATCGATGAGAGAGGAACATTAATTAGCTGCCTCCTGCACACCTCCCACTGGGGTTGTGCCCGCAACCAAAGTACATGCCCTTGACCGGAATCGAACCTGGGACCTTTCAGTTCGCAGGCCGGCGCTCTATCCACTGAGCCAAACCAGTTTCTGCTCTTAAGTATTTGAAGTGTAAAACTGTCTGCATTGACCACCCCTCCCACCCCCCCGCATCAGTGTCAGCGTGTGGTCTTTGTCAGCACTGTTTCCAGCGCACAACCCGCAGGCTGTAAACCGCACGCAGCTGTGATTGACAGGTGCTGCTTCTGGTACTCTTTCGAGGGTGGTCATAGTCATCTATTTTTTAAAGTTCATTTTTCTTTAATTGTGGCTTTAAAAAACGGTGGCATTAAGTTATATAGCTCAACTCTCCACTGTCTCCCAGCCCTGGGAGCCTGAGTCTCCTTCCTGTCTCTGAGGGTCTGTGAATGGAGCACCTGTGTCTGGCGTCGCTGAGTGTAATGGCCTCCAGGTCCGCCCAGGCTGTGGCAGGTGCCGGAATAATACTGCATTGTGTGGATGGACCACATTTATCCGCCAGTGGACACACATGTCCCTTTACCTTCCAGTTGACTTGGCAGAGGGTGTAGTCTGCTTGGAACACACTCTGAACTGGGCTGGGCCTTGGTCAGGTCAGCCTCGCAGACGGCCTACCCGGGGGGGCGCTGTGGGCAGTGCCGTGGGGCAGATAGGAGGGTGCAGGGTCAAGTGTAGGAGGGAGGGGTGACTGCTGAAAGGAGCAGCTGTCTGACCGTCAATCAGGTCCTTGCCCCTTTCCCTCCACAGGTCTTGGGGCACCTTTGCAGGCAGTGGGAGGCATTGGGAACCTGCTTGAAAAGGTCATTGCCATGAGCTGGTTTGGGGCAGAACCCTAAACTCAAGTTTGCGGGTTTCCACGTGCTTCATTGCTTGTTCTGTACCTGATACGCCAGGTGTGTCTAATGTACGTTGACAGCCCTGTTTCTCCTGCAGGAAAAGCCACCAGGGTGGGCGGTGAGCCTGGGATCACTAGATCTGTGATGTCCAGAATTCAGGTAGGGCCTTGACTCCTGGGCCCACAGTGGCACACACACAGATGCCTGCCACCTCCTGGGGGCTCGCAAGGTGCTGTGCTCGTCTCTGTCCTTTCCCTCAATCTCCATTCCCATGAGTACTCGCTATGGGCCGGGCACTGCACCAGCCTCACACCGGACCTACGGGGAGGGCACGCTGGTCCCTGGTTACAGATAGGCAAACTGAGGCACAGAGGAGTTGCATTACCTCTCTGACATTTCCTTCCTCCTGGAAAGATGGGGCTGAGGGGGCTCCTGCTGTTATCTCCAAATTAACGGGAGCGGATCCCTGTGGGGAAGCCAAGAGCTTGTGAAAAGTACCCCATCAGGGCTGGGTCATTCGGGTGTCTCCTGCTTGAGGGTTGTCCAACAGAAGGCCTGGTCGGAGGGCTGCTTGAGGCTTCCTGAGTGGCGAGCCAACTGCCCTCTGTGCCCACAGGTGAGTGAGCGGCCGCTGATGTTCCTGCTGGACACGCCTGGAGTGCTGGCTCCTCGGATTGAGAGCGTGGAGACGGGCCTGAAGCTGGCCCTCTGTGGTGAGCCACCCTCGGGGCCCCACCTGCAGCCCAGTGCGGCCCCAGCCCATGGCGGAGCCGCTAACGCTCAGCGCTGTCCCTGTGCAGCCGGGCAGGACGGTCAGGTCTGGGGTGGCCTTCTTGCAGCCTCTGGCCGAGACCGAGGGCGTGCACTCACCTCACTCCTGTTTCCAGGAACCGTGTTGGACCACCTGGTCGGGGAGGAGACTCTGGCCGACTACCTTCTCTACACCCTCAACAGGCACCAGCTCTTTGGGTGAGAGCCCGATGAGGGCAGGCCAGCCCGTCCTCTCCTGTGCTAGCGTAGTTTCCCAGGTGGCACTGGTAGGGTATTGCAGACAGACAACAGTCTGCGTCATTCGAAGCAGCGGTTGCCAACAGGTGGTCCGAAAGGTTAGCGACCGCTAACTTAAAATGTATTTAGTTGGATGCGTTTGATACACAGACACAGCTGTGAAGCTGCTTTTTAATCCCTCCTCCCCCACCCCTCACGCCCTGGCTCCTGCTGCTCAGGTACGTGCAGCACTACGGCCTGGGTGAGGCCTGCGATGACGTGGCAAGTGTGCTGAAGCGCGTGGCCATCAAGCTGAGGAAGACGCAGAAGGTGAAGGTGCTCACGGGCACAGGTGAGACCCCGGGCCGGGGGCCTGTCCTCGGAGCAGCCTGGCCGCCCAGGGAGGGCTCTGGGGCCATGAAGCTGTTGTGGGAGCGAAGGTTCTTGTCCAGCCACCCTGCTGTGGGCCCGAGCGGAGCCGGGTGCACTCCGTGTTCACCCTTCCTCAGGTGGCTGAATCTGTTTCATTTATTTTTTAATTTAGTATGTTTTTATTGATTTCAGAGAGGAAGGGAGAGGGAGAGAGAGAAACATCAATGATGAGAGAGAACCATTGATCGGCTACCTCCTGCACACCCCACACTGGGGATTGAGCCCGCAACCTGGGCATGTGTCCTCACCAGGAAACAAACCATGACCTCCTGGGTCAAAGGTTGACTCAGTCTAACCACTGAGCCTCACCACCCGGGCTGGCTTTGTTCTCTTTTTGAGTAGGTCCTGGTGCCTGAGTTCCACGGATACCCACCTTAGGGTCCCTATTCCTGAGGGCAGGCTGCGGGGGTGGGGGGGGGATCCTGTGTGGGAGCCCCCTTCTCACCAGACCCTCCTGCCTCCCTCAGGCAACGTGAACGTCATCCAGCCCAACTACTTGGCGGCCGCCCGTGACCTCCTCCGGACCTTCCGCAGCGGGCTGCTGGGCCCCGTGATGCTGGACCGGGACCTCCTGCAGAGCCTGCCCGCCGTAGGCCCCAGCCAGGCCCTAGGCCCCGGAGACGCGTAGCGCCCCAGACCCTCCCGTCCGGGTTCTGACACTCAGGGCTCCCTCTTCTGGAAGCTCCGTGCCAGTCACTACACTACGGCCTCTGCCCTAGGAAGGATGCTGCACGCTCCTGCTGCTCCGCAGCCAGGCCAGCTCCTGGTCCCTGGGGCCAGCGCATGGGCTGCAGACGTCAGCCCCGACCTCCCTGCGCCGTCCTGCGTGCCTGGCCGGGCGAGGACACTCACTCTCGCTCATTTCTCGCACGAGAAGCTGACATCGGCCCGGAGAGAGAGAAGCTGTAATCTAATTTAAATGCTTTAAACTAAGCCGCGTGTCTGTTGTTGGCCCAGTCACCCTCAGCACCGTGGGCGCTCGTGTCAGGGCCCCTGTCACCAGGGAGAAGCGGGAGGCGAGCTGGTTAGCAGCTGGCGATGCAGTGTCATCTGACGCAGCGTCCGGGGGCCTGCAATGAGGAGGCGTTGCTGCCAGCACAGTGTTTATTTCACAGCGCTGCTGGAATGTGCACACAAATGGGGACAGAAGGTTCCAGTACTCGTGGCAGCACCCAAGGCCTGGCCTGTCCCCTCGGGAATGTGTACTGGCTGGGAGGGTCTCCGTATGGGCAGCGGGTACCTAGGGCTCCCACTGCTCTGAGCACCTTCTAGCTGATGGACAGTCAACTTCCCAAGTGCCTCTCAGCACCTGTCATCGCACCTGAAGGGTCCATGGGTGGGAAAAGGACAGGAGGGATGGTGGGCTGGGGGAGCAGGTGCCTTGGCCAGTAGCCCTGGCTGCTCTCCTGGAGGCCTGGCCTCCCTGGAGCTGCCAGGGGCCTCTTCCTGTAGGTCTCACTGCCCATGTGGGTTCCCTTCTAATTCCCACTATGTGGGGTCCCCCTACCCTCCACCCAGGTCCCACTACCCACGTGGGTTTCCCACACACCACAAACCCTGGCTAACCCCCCTGCGATGATCCGCCCTGAGCACCCTCTGTCTCCTGCGGGAACCCTGAGCTTGTGTGAGTGTGTGTGGGGGGATATGGTAGGGGGGGCAGGACTAAAAGATTCAGGGCCGTACCAAACGCCAGACACACTCCCAGGGTTCAGGGTCGGGGATGAAATGAGCTCTTGACTGGAATCTGGCATCTGGATTCCAGAGCGAGCGGATGGCTCCCATTGCGCCACACAGCCTGTCCGGGTGGCATTGAGTGGCTGAGCGCAGCCACGCTGGGCCCCCCTGGGGGCCCTTGGGGAGAACAGCTCGGCCTGTGCAGGATGATCCTGCTCCCTGTGGATAAACGGCAGGACGGCCACACTGCCTCAGAGGCCCGGGCGGGCTCAGCCACGGCTCACGGCTTTGGCAGCATCCAGCTTGGTCTGGAATGGATAGAGGAGCATCTGCGCTCGCTGCACCCCAAGAATGCTGGCAGTGTGCACAGGAGGCTGCCGAGGCTTCATCCTGCAGCTTCGTGTTTTGGAGAAAAACTTGATCCGGAAAAACTTGAGTCCTGCCGAAAGCCTAGAGACGCTTCTCCCCGGCCCCTGGCCAGAGCCAGCTGTGGGAGGGCAGAGGGGCAGGCTCAACACTGGTGTCCATCACAGAGACCAAAGGCCCTGAGGTCTGGGGGCGAGGGCGCATTCTGGGAGGCTCTTGCTGAGCACCAGGAGGATGCGGTCCCAGGAGCCGGCCTGGAGCTGGCCTGCCTTGGGGTGCGGTGGTGGTAGAGCTGGATACTCGGGGAAAGCTGCCCCCCTGTTCCCCAGGGCTGAGCTCCAGGTGCCCCAGAGGCTAAGGATTGGCCTTAAACATAGGGGTGGTGGGTGCCGTAGGCAAACCCTGTGTTTCCTTAGAAGCTCCTCGACATCGGCCCTGGGGGCCTGGAGTTTTTAGACACCCCAGATGGTGCTGGAGGAGTCTGCCTCTGGGAGCTTCTACTGAGGGAGGCTCTCACGCCCAGGGTGCTTGCTGGGTCCTGGGGCCCAGCTACCTCCGCCTTCCCCCAGGTACTGCCATGGTCATGTGCCTGGAGCTCCCAGCCTCACCTTCCAGGGGGTGCTGCCCGCTGAGGGGGGCCACTGCCCTGGAACACAGCCAGCCAGGCCGGGCGGAGTGGCCTGCAGTGGGAGTGGTAGCTGCAGTGTCGGGTCCGGGATTTGAACCTTTAGTTCAAAGGGAATGGAACAATCCTGGTGTTTAAACAGAACGTTGCTTTTTTCAAAGTAGGTCCCAAGAAGAATCAAGTGACTTGTTCCAAGTCAGAGCGCAGTGGCTCCAAGGGAGTCCCTGGCAGAGGGCCTCACAGAGCATCTGCACAGAGCGCCGGGGGCAGGGGTGTCCGGGAACGCGCACAGAACCACGCGTGGGCAGATCCACAGGGCCAGCACCTGGCAGTCTCCATGCTTCGGTCCCTGAGCAGAAACCTCTCCAAATCAGTTCCTGTGGTCCATCCTGGCGGCTTCTGGGGGGAGGCCACCACACCTCCGTGCACCTCTCTGCCTGGTGGTCAGCATGCCCACACCCCTCCAGTGTCCAGGGAGGCCTCCAAGGAGACGGGGTGGCCAGAACAGCCTGGTCTCGCACCTGTCTGAGGCAGCTCTGGGAGGTGGGAGGCAGCTGGCCGGGAGGCTCAGGAGCCATGGACACCGCCTTTCTGGGGGACCACGCTAACCAGTACATTGGTAGGTGAGGCGGAGGGACCTCTGGAAGGGCCTGGGCGGGGTGGTGAGCAGGAGGGGGCACCCGGGTCACCGGGAAGAGGATGCAGCTCCTGCTGGGACTGGCCGGCATCCCCCAGGCAGCCTTTCTGGTCACTAGGATCGTGGGCTGTGGGCTGTGGGCTGTGGGCTGTAGGCTGCGCCTGCGGGGCGGGTGCGGGCAGGGGGGCCGATTTGGCCCCGAGCCCTGCCCTGCCTAGGGCTGCAGCAGCCCCAGGGCGCTGAGGGCCCCGCCAAGCAGCAGGCAGAGGTGCAGGCTGCACGCAGTAGGCCCTGCAGCCGACGTCCATGCCCAGTAGCTGTAGACGGCCGTCCTGTTGCCTCCGGAGGCGGCGTCCTCGCCCTCGGGGTCACTCTCCCAGGGCCCCAGGGCCCTCCTCCAGCCCGAGCCCGACGAGGCCGCGGCCGCCGCCCCCGCCGCCGCCGCCGCCGCCACGGCGCCCACGCGGAGGGCGGACCCCGAGTAGCGGGGCGCCGGCCGCACGCGCCCCCGGGGCACCCCGCGCGCGCCCCCGCGGCCCCCGCGCGCGCCGCCGCGCGCCCCTCCGCGGCCGCCCTTGGCCTCGCCGCCGTCGCCGAGGAGGGTGGCGGCCAGCAGCAGGGCCCAGCACGTCGCCGCCATCCAGTTCATCCTCGTGGGGCGAGACCTGCGGGCGACGGAGGAAGGACCTCAGCTTCCGAGGCCGGGGCGGGTGCCCGGGCCGGGGCTCGCCGCCCTCTCGGGCCCGTGGACTGCGAGGAGGGGCTTGAACGCCTGGGACTGGGGACCCAGGCCGGGGGAGGGTGTTGTTCAGTCACCGGGACGGGGAGGTGGGAGGAGGGTTCGTGGCCGGAGTGCAGCGGGGGCAGAGCTGGGGGCAGGGAGCACCCTGCGGCGGGGCCAGAGGCCGGCGGGCGCCACCTGCTGGGCTGCTCTGGAAGGACACCCGGCCGCGCTGCGGTGCGGCGTGTGTCTGGGGGCGCAGTCTCAGGGGCCGGGGGCCCCCCAGGACCCGGATCGGGGTCTGGAGCGAGGACCGTGCGCCTCCGCCCGGCTCCCCCGGCGGCGAGGCCAGGGTCCGAGGACGCGCGGCTGATGATGCGGGGCTGGCTCCACCCCCCCGGCCGGGACCCAGGGGACCGTCCCTTCCCCCCAACCCGGCCCCGCATCCTCCCCTCCCCGGCCTGCCTGGCCCCACAGCCGGGACGGGGACGGGACCGGGACCGGGACTGGACGCCGGCCGGTTCCTGGCGCAGCGATCGGGGCGACGCCTCGACCCTCCTCCCGGGCCCGCCGGTCCCTCCATCCCGGGCCCCGCGGGCACCGCTCAGCCTTACCCTCCGCCGGGCTCGGCCGGACCGCCGCGAGGTGGCCGCTGCGGGGCTGCAGCCGGAAAGCGCGGGCTGCGGGGGAGCCTTCGCCCGGATCCGCGCGGGGCCGCCGCCCTAGGACTGGGGGCGGGCAGACGCCAGGCTCGGCTGGTCCCCCGGGAGACGGGGAGGAGGAGACAGAGGCGGCTCTAGGAGCGCAGAGCCCCCTCCCTCTCAGCACCCCGCCTCGCTGCACCCCGTCCTCCTCCCCACCCACCCTGCCTCCCCCAGCAGTCCCCATTCCTCCACCCCCACACATCTCCCCACACATCTCCATCTCCATCCCCGGTGCCCTGTGCCCACATCTGTCCCCACTCCACCCCCCTCCTGCCCGCCTTTCCACCCTCCACCCCGTTCCTACCCACTTCACATCCTGGTCCTCATCCCTGTGCCAGGGGGACAGAATGCCATGGCAACCTGAGCTCAAGGTCCTGGCGCCCAGGCCCCACAGCGGCCGCAGCGCCAGCATCAGCATCGCAGGCCCAGGTCCCCCCTCCTCCGCCTGCGGTGTGCACCGGGCAGATCCATGGGGGCGGCCACTCCATGTCAGGGTCACAGTAACCCGCTGCCCACGCCACAGGCTTCCAGGTGGGATCCGGGCCACTTCCTGAGATGGTGCTGTCTGTCCCTGCCCCCCCCCCCCCCCAGCCACCTGCCAGGAGCTTGGGGGTGGGCGCAGGGACCTCCTCAGCTGCCCGCTGCTGTTTGTGTGTTTAGCATCTCTTAGTCCATCAGATCCTCAGGTTTCCAAAGGCTTAGGACCTCTGCTCCACAGAGCTGCTGGGCACTCTCACTTCTTTTCAATTCTTCCCTCCCTCCTTCCTCCTTCCTCCCTCCCTCCCTCCCTCCCTCCCTCCCTCCCTCCCTCCCTCCCTCCCTCCCTCCCTCCCTCTCTCCCTCTCTCCCTCTCTCCCTCTCTCCCTCTCTCCTTCCCTTCCTTCCCTCTTTCTTGCTTTTCTTTTTGTTAATCCTCACCTGAGGATATTTTTGCATTGATTTTTAGAGGCACTGGAAGGGGAGAGAGAGAGAGAAACATCAATGTGAGAGAGACACATCGATTGGGTGCCTCCCACGCACACACCCCTGTTAGGTGGAGGCAGGGGGGGAATCCAATCTGCAAGGTGTGTAGATGGTGACAGAGATAACTGGCGCCTAACTAGGCCCCTGGCCCGAGGCAGGAATTCCGCACCTCTCATGCCCTCTGCCCTCCCCCCACTTTATAAAAGGAGTACCTATGCCCCCCTTTCACCCAGCAGCGCAAGATTAAAACCTCCCCCTTTTAATCACCTGGACTCTCTGTGTTTTGTCTCCTGTGTCACAAACCTCTCAAGTCCGACCCAGGGCCGGGATGGAGCCTACAACCAACATACATGCTCTTGACAGGAACTGAATGTGGGACCCTTCAGTCCACTGGCCAATGCTCTATGCACCGAGCCAAACTGGCTAAAGCAAATCCCATAAGCTTTGATATGCCATGTTTTCATATTCATTTTAAAACATTTCCTTATTTATCTTTTGGTTTCTTATTTAACTAATAGATTACTTAGAAATGTATTGTTTCCAAATATTTGGAGGTTTCCCAGAGATCTTAATCTTTTAGTTATCTCTGTTTTAATCCTATTATGGTCAGCATACGCACTTTGCCTTGCTTTGAATTCTTTTAAGTTAGACTTGGTCTATGGCTTGGAATACGGGTCTGCCTTGTTCCCTGTGCTCTTCAGTGCTGGTGGTGTGCCTGTCAGTCCAGGGAGTCTGTATCCTCCCGACTCTGCACTGGTTTTACCTCCCTGGGCCTTGTACACACACTTGTTTTTGGGTTTGTCTCTGGAAAGTCCACACCTGCTGCCACTCCTGACCTTTTATTCCTTCATGTGCCAGCTCATCTTTGTGATGGAGTGATGGCTAATTTGCATATCACCCTTTTATTAGGTAGGATGTGCCAGCTCATCTTTGATTGGGCGCTGAGTCCTGTAATGGGAGAATTCCCTGCTTGGAGCCACTCTCAGATGCTGCCTTCCTCCCCCCTGAAGGGATTTGTTGTTTGTTTTTACTTCTTCCAGACACAGGGTGGTGCCAGCTGTCTAGACTCAGTGTGCCTCTAGACCAGTGGTTCTCAGCCTTCCTAGTGCCGCGGCCCTTTAATACAGCTCCTCGTGTGGTGGTGACCCCCAACCGTAAACGTGTTTTCGTTGCTACTTCATAACTGTAATTTTGCCACTGTTAATGAATCATAATGTAAATATCTGTGTTTTCCGATGGTCTTAGGTGACCCTGCTAGCGGTTCGCAGTCTGTGGGTCGCCTAAGACCATCGGAAAACACAGATATTTACATTATGATTCATTAACAGTAGCAAAATTACAGTTATGAAGTAGCAACGAAAATACTTTTATGGTTGGGGGTTGAGAGCGCAGGGCGGAGCTAGCTCCTGATCCTCCATTTTGTAACTAGACCCTAGCCCTCCCCAACCAATCGGGGTCAGCCAAAGCAGTGACATCACCGCCCCTATAAAACCCTTTGACCTGTTGAAGCTCGCTTTCTCCCGCCACGCCACTGTCGGTGTAAGTGGGACAGAGCTCAGACTAGTCCGAATACAGGCTTTCTGCTGTTGCATCAGACCCAGCTCCCCAGTGGTCTTTGGGGATCACAGAATCTGGGCATAACAGGGCTCACCACAACATGAACTGTATCACAGGATCGTGGCCTCAGGAAGGCTGGAACCGCTGCTCCAGAGTGCTTTGGAAGTGCTTTTTCTGATAATAAGGCATCTCTGGTGGGACATTTGCCATCACAGTGGCCGGGACTCTCGGAGCCGGGTTAGCCCCAGGTCTGTCCAACAGGAGGCTCCTCGGATTAGTGGTTGATGTCTCCCGGGATCCTAGCATCTGTGGACAGTGCTGACTGAGGTGCTGGTTCTGACCTCCTGCTTCCCAGGCCCTGTTCCGCCACCATCTCAGACGCCTTCCCACAGACCCGGCTTCCCATCGCCCAGAGCTTCCCTCCTGGGCCCTCGTGAAGACTAGGCCCTGTTCTCAGGTCACTCCTACCGCACCCTTGTCACCGCAGGGAGCGCCCAGGACCTGGCACCTGGAGTCCCTGCCTCCCAGGCCAGGGTGCCCAGCCCCTGCAGAGCCCCCTCCGTGCTGCAGCGGAACCGCCACAGCTGGCTGCTTCCCCGCAGGCTTCCTGAACTGCACCCCGTTCTCGGAAAACCAGCCAGGGCAGGGGCACCACTTCCTGCCTTTTCTGCAGAGATTTTATCTTTGTGCACACACCTCCTGGGCCCTCCTGCCCAAGCCGCAGGCTGGCCCCTCCCGCGAGGACCCTCGCCCTCCTTTCTCTCCAGCCTCCTGTCTTATAAACGAAAGGGAAGAAACCCCCGCCTCACAGCCTTGTTCTCTGCCGCCCTCCCCGCCAGCTCCCCTGTGCATGTCTACTGGCAGGATGCCCCCAAGCCTCACCTGAGACTGGCCCTGGAGGGGCCACCCTTCCATCCCACCCTCCAGCCAACAAGCCTCAACCACCGGCATTCTAACCCGCGTGGGGCCTCCCAGTTCTGCTGTATTGACTGGGTGGTCAATCTGCATTTCCATGTAAACTGTAGAATCATTTTCTAAAATGTATTTTTATTGATTTCAGAGAGGAAGGGAGAGATAGAAACATCAATGATGAGAGAGAATCATCGATCAGATGTTTCCTGCACACCCACACCTCCTCCCCACTGGGGATCGAGTCTGCAACTGGGGCAAGCGTCCTGACCAGGAATCGAACCTGTGACCTCCTAGTTCATGAGTAGATACTCAACCACTGAACCATACTGGCTGAGCAATACATAACATTTTTCTTGCCTTTTAAACAGATAGCTATTTAAAATAATTTATTTTCTGTTTGCCTCTCTGTAGAAAAACAAGTGACTTTCATTTATTGACTGTGTCCAGAGGTTTGGTACACTTTCTTGTGAATTCTAACTTATGTGTAGATTCTTCTGGATTTTTTTAAATCTCCAGGGCATTGTCTGTGAGTGATGACCCCCTTTCTAACCTTACGACTTCTCTGCTCCTAACTCACCGCCCTGGTTAAGACCTCCCAGGCGAAGTCCAGGTGAGAGGGGGCCTGTGCGGTCTCTGATCTCAGAAAGTAGGGCACTGGCTGTGGTTTGTGTTTTGATGATATTCGTTATCAGATTAAGGAAGTTCTCTGCTATTTCTGTTGTAGGCAGGCTCTAAGGTGACCAGATGTCCCGCTTTTGGCGGGATAGCCCCGATTTTTAACAATTTGTCCCCCATCCCATGGCATTTTTAAAAAGTCCCAATTTTTAAAATTTAGAATCTTTCTAAAAAATTGGGACTTTTAAAAAATGCCGCGGGACAAATTGTTAAAAATCGGGGCTGTCCCGCCAAAAGCGGGACGTCTGGTCACCTTGAGCTAGACCGACATGAACGGGGCAAGGACGACGGGCCAGGTCAGTTGTAGGGTAGGATCCTGCCCCGATGGTGACTTCCCCTCCCCCAGCACATCACTGGTCATGAGGTTTGGACCCCCTGACCTTCCCCCCAGAGGTGAACATCTAGGCCAGCGGTGAGGCAAACTCATTAGTCAACAGAGCCAAATACCAACAGTTACAACGATTGACATTTCTTTGGAGAGCCACATTTGTTAAACTCTTCTAACACCACTTCAACATAGACTCGTGCAGGCCGTGGTACCCGGGTGAGCCCAGGTGAAATGTCAAAGTCCACCGGACCGCCGCCTTCCTCTGCATAGGAGAGGGGGCGGGGTGTGTGGAATCCCCCAGGAGAGAGAGGAGAGAGAGAGAGAGAGAGAGAGGAGAAAGAGAGAGAGAGAGATTGAGAGAGAGAGAGAGAGAGAGAGAGAGATTGAGAGAGAGAGAGAGAGAGAGAGAGAGAGAGAGAGAGAGAGAGAGAGAGAGAGAGAGAGAGGAGAGAAGAGAGAGAGAGAGAGAGAGAGAGAGAGAGAGAGAGAGAGGGAGGGAGGAGAAAGAGAGAGAGAGAGATTGAGAGAGAGGAGAAAGAGAGAGAGAGGGAGAGAGAGAGAGACTCAAACAGAACATGGGATGGAGAACCCACGAGGGGAAGGGCAGTCTATTAGGCTCCCTCTGCTTTTACCCTCTGCATCGCTCCTTCCTTTCTTGGAAGCCCATCTCAGTATTAGCGTTTTCTTTGTTTGGAGGCCTTTGTGTAACCCTGTCTTCCAGGTGTGCCTACCAGCGACTCTTTCTCTTCGTTTCCCTCCCTCTGAGGAGGCCCTTGTCCCCCTCCACGGCTGATGTCTGTAGGGCGGTTTCACAGACACAGGGCGCGGGCTTGACACACTTTCAGCTCTTCGACCTGCCGTTCCTCCGCCTGCTGCCTCGCGCAGATGCGAAATGTGCAGTCATACGCATGGGTTTCCCTTTGTAGATAATGTGTCCTTTCTCTCGGGCTGTCTTCGGACTCTTCTTTGTCTTTAGATTTCAAAAGATTGGTTCTGATGTGTTTTGATGGGAATTTCTTTGGGCTTATCCACTTTGGAGTTTGCCCAGCTTCTTGAATCTGTAAGTTTATGTCTTCCACCACATTTGGGAAGTTTTCAGCCATATTTAAAATTTTTATTTATTTTATTTTTATTTTTTAGTCTCTCTCTTCTTTTCAGATCTCTAGTCATAGAAATAGAAGAACTTTTGCTACTATGCCAGAGGTCTCTGCTGCTCTATTTTTTCCTATTTTCTCTCTGTTGTTTACATTGAGTAAATTCTACTGTTTTGTCTTCAAGGTCACTGATGCTGTCCTTCGTCATTTCCATTTTACTAGTGAGTCTATTCAGTGAATTAAAAACACACTGAAACAAGCAAGCAGTGGCGCTGGTAAATGCAACAGGTACAGGAAGGTTTCCGTGATTGCTCACCTGATTCTTCAAACACTCCACCTGAAGGCTGAGAGCAGTTTCAGTGAAGAAGAGGAGGGAAAACTTGAAGCTGCATTTTTTTTCCAGACAAGATCATCACCTCGTTCCTGACACAGTATCATTCCTGTTAGAACAGCATGTCACCCTGGGAAGCCAGCAGCTTCACAGCAGCAGGTGGAAAACACCCCTCGTAGACAAGACAAAGCAGAAGCGTTTGCCAGTGCTTGGTCTTCCACAGGCTGAGGAACAGTAAAAAAAATTCAGCCAGTGGAGTCTTGCTTCCCACCTGCTAGTGCCCAGCAGAACCAAAGCCTCCTTCCCACAAGCTAGGCCTGCAGGACGGCAGCTCGGTCCTCAGAGGGTGCAGAGGGTCTGGAGAAGGTTCTGTGGCATCAGCCCCAAGGAGCCGTCGGGTTTCTGTAACAAGCAGGAGCACAGCTGGGCTCCCTTCCGCGATGTCCTCGAAGGCTGCTTTCCCCACCACGCTCCTGCCGCCTCATGGTCTTGCTTTGAAGCAAGACGGCCAGGCTGGGTTTTCTGAAGGAGTCAGCAGTGTTCTTCTTGTGAATTAATGGCTTATCGCTTCTTAGACAAACAATAGCCAAGGGGAATAGTTTTCTGAGGACCGGTTTCTAACAGAGACAGTGCCACAAAGAAATGGATGCACATGTCGACGGCCATTTTATTATTATTATTATTTTTTTAAATTTATTTTTTAATGTATTTTATTGATTTTTTACAGAGAGGAAGGGAAAGAGAGAGTTAGAAACATCGATGAGAGAGAATCATTGATCAGCTGCCTCCTGCACACACCCTACCGGGGATGTGCCCACAACCAAGGTACATGCCCTTGACTGGAATTGAACCCGGGACCCTTGAGTCCGCAGGCCGACACTCTATCCACTGAGCCCAACCGCTTTCGGCATGTCGACGGCCATTTTAATTCCAGTGGGCTAAAACTGGAAAAAAAAAAAAAAAAAAAAAGAAGAAAGAAAGAAAGAAAGAAAGAAAGAAAAGAAACATCAGCTGACTATCATCCATTAAAGTGTGTATACAGCCGAAGCCGGTTTGGCTCAGTGGTAGAGCGTCGGACTGCGGACTGAAAGGTCCCAGGTTTGATTCTGGTCAAGGGCATGTACACTGGTTGCGGGCACATCCCCGGTAGGGGGTATGCAAGAGGCAGCTGGTCGATGTTTCTCTCTCATCAGTGTTTCTAGCTCTCTATCTCTCTCCCTTTCTCCTCTGTGAAATATCAATAAAATATATTTTAAAAAAATAAATAAATAAAAATAAAGTGTGCATACATTTTCAGGGGAAATCCTGTATATTCTCTAGTTCTATGAGGCAATAGCTAGTAATTGTTATGAACACTTTTGCTTAAAAAAGAAAAGAAAAAGTGTGTGCTTTTTTTCTGTCCTGTTTTTGCTTTATTATCTAACTAGTTGATTTTTTAATATATTAGATGACACTGCCAGTATCAAGGAGGGTCCATGGATACAAGGTATAAAGTGTACCTTAGAATACATGACTTCAGTAATGACATTAATGAAAATAAGAAAGCAGCCACCTGCAACAAAACACATTACAGTATGTTTCTTTGAATATAACGAGTATATTTTGTTTCAGAAATAATACAGGGAAGAAATGAAAAATAGAGCTAGTAGTAATATGTCAGATAATTCCAGTGTGAGTTTCTCTGTGCACTTTTGTTTTTGTTTTTAAATATTTTTGTTGATTTTAGAGAGGAAGGGAGAGGGATAGAGAGATAGAAACATCAATGATGAGAGAGAATTATTAAATATATTTTATTGATTTTTTTACAGAGAGGAAGGGAGAGGGATAGAGAGATAGAAACATCAATGATGAGAGAGAATTATTAAATATATTTTATTGATTTTTTACAGAGGAAGGGAGAGGGATTGAGAGTTAGAAACATCAATGAGAGAGAATCATCAACCAGCTGCCTCTTGCACACCCCCTATTGGGGATGTGCCCCCAACCAAGGTACATGCCCTTGACCAGAATCGAACCCGAGACCCTTGAGTCCGCAGGCCGACGCTCTATCCACTGAGCCAAACTGATTTCGGCTAAGTTTGTATCCTTAAAGTTTCAAAACAGATAACTTTTATATTCTCTTTCTGTAAATAAATTAATTTCAATCAATAAAATTTTTGTCTTAGAATTACTTTAAAAATAAATTTTATTGATATGATTCATATTTTATTTCATTTTTTTTTAAATGTATTTTTATTGATTTCAGAGAGGAATGGAGAGAGAGAAACAACGATGAGAGAGATTCACTGATTGGCTGCCTTCTGTCTGCCCCACACTGGGATTGAGCTCACAACCTGATCAGGAATCAAACTGTGACCTCCTAGTTCAGAGGCATATTGATGCTCACAGGTCAGGCTATGTGGGATGCTGTTCTGAATTACCTGACTTGTCAGGTAATTCTGACATCTAGGTCACCCTGGCATTGCCACCAGCTGATTGTCCTTTATCATCGAATTGTGTGCTTCGTGTGGCGAGGGATTTTCACGTGTACCCTGGGCATTCTGGTTATGATGTTGGGGAGAGTCTTGATCCTTTTTAAATGTCCTGTTTCAGCAGGTGGTCACCTGTTCCAGCTTAAGGCCGTGGTCAGCAAACTGCGGCTCGCGAGCCACATGCGGCTCTTTGGCCCCTTGAGTGTGGCTCTTCCACAAAATACTACGGCCTGGGCGAGTCTATTTTGAAGAAGTGGCATTAGAAGAAGTTTAAAAAATTTGGCTCTCAAAAGAAATTTCAATTGTACTGTTGATATTTGGCTCTGTTGGCTGATGAGTTTGCCGACCACTGGCTTAGGGCATAGGTTTTGGCCTTCTTTTGTGGACTTTGGTTCCAAGGACAGTTTCGTTTACAAAACTCTCCGGGCCTGTCTCACTGTCCTAGTGCTGGGGCCCTTCCTCAGTCCCTGCGGGTCCCAGGGAGGGCGGTGTCGCTGGTCACTGTCTATGGGGTGGATTTTCCTGCTACCGTTGCTGCCGGCAGACTGGACCACTCGCCTGATCATGGGTCTGGGGGAAGCAGCCCCGTCAGCAGTTCCCAGCAGGAGAGGAAACCCACAGCCGGGCCCTCTGCGCATGCCTGCGATGCTCAGAGCTGCCGAGGCCATTGGCTGCTCTGCTCACAGACCGAGCGCCGGGGCCACTGATAAGCCCTGGATAGGCCCTCGCTGCCTCCACTGGTGCTGGGGCCACCGGCAGCCCCACGTCTGCGTGCGTGACTCTGGGCTCCGTCCCTGCGGACGCCCAGCCCAGTGGCCAGAGCTGGCTGACGCCCAGGGGCGGAGGAGCCATGCGGGCTGCTCTCTGGGCCTTGGGAGTCGGGCCCTTTCTCCTCACGCTCTGGGCAGTCCCCACTGGTGAGTTTCTTCTCCCTTCATCCGCGGAACCTTCCGGAGGCAGCAGCTTGCCGATGCTGAGTGTGAGGATCCCCCCCGCTACGACCAGCTGCCTGGGTGTCGCTCAGCTCAGAGGGGGCGGGATATCCTGAGGTCGGAGGGTGTGTGGGCTCCCAAGTTAGACCCCTGGAGACTCTTGTCCCAACACGGAGTCGGTCCCATCCCAGGGTGAACCAGAGCCTCCGGCCCCACTGCTCAGAGCCCAAGGAGTGGGCTGGTCAGGGCCTGCACGGAATGAGGGAACATGGCTGGGTCTGGTCTCAATGATCCAGACCGACAGGGGGTGCGAAGGGTCACAGCACAGCCCTGGGGGTGCTCTGGGATGACCAGGCTGGGACGAGTGGCCCTCCCCTCGGATGTCCTGGGGCCGCTGCTCTATTTCCCTGCACCAGCCCCTGCGGGACCTGCCGACAGGAGCATGGGTGCGTGTGCATGCATGTGTGTGAGAGGAGAATGTGAGCGAGTGCGCATGTGCCTGTGAGTGTGCATGCGTGTGGGTGTACGAGTGTGAGTGTGTGTCAGGGCCGGGAGGCCGGAGAGGGCAGCAGCATCCGGTACCCTGGAAGCTGACGGAGGAACGGCGCTGCCCAGGCTGACCCGGGTCCAGAGGGGGGACCGCACAGCTGGACAGAGGGCACCCAGGGGGTGGTAGTGGGGAATCTGGGGGCAGTGAGGCGTGGGCAGGGGGATGGTGGCAGGGCCTGTTGTGTGTTAGGGACGCAGACCTGGTGCCGTTCCCGGGCTGGAAGGCCCCAGCGGAAGCTGGGGGAGCAGGGCAGCGAGGGGTGAGGCCCCAGTGCGGGTGGGAAGACCTGCTCCCTCCGGGCCCCGGCACCCCCTTTCGCTTCTTTCCCTGTGTGAGCCCAGCAGCCCTGGTGGTGCCAGGAATGACCAGGCTGGGACGAGGTGCACACACACACACACACACACACACTCCCGTCTCGGACATCCTGGGGCCGCTGTTCCAGTCCCCTGCACCAGCCCCGGACGGGGGCTGCGGGTGGAGGGTCCTGTGATAAGGTGGGGGGTGCCAGGGGCTGAGGAAAAGACCAGGGGGCAGAGGCCTGGAAAGGGTGTGGTTGGGGGCAAGCTTCCAGGGTCACATTTCTAATCTGGCTCTATCTAATCTGGCTCTATCTAATCTGGTTCTATCTATCGGCAGCGAGGCCGTGGGCGCGGCCCCGGGCACATGCAGAGGCCGTCACCACGCGGCCCACCCTCAGCTTCCCCCCTCCCCTGGCCCCCGGTGGCCTGGCCCCGCTGAGGCTGGCCCGCCCCCCTGCAGGTGGGCCGGGCAACCTGAGGCTGGCGAACAGATACAGCGAGTGTGACGGACTGGTGCTGGCCCGGCACCAGGGGGAGTGGGGCCACGTGTGCAACCAGGAGTGGACGCTGGCGGAGGCCTCGGTGGTCTGCAGGCAGCTGGGCTGCGGCCCTGCCGTGGGGGCCCCCAAGTACGTCCCGCTGCCCGAAGAGAGGGTGCAGCCCTCGCTCCACAACGTGTCCTGCCGGGGCGACGAGTCCTCCCTGTGGGAGTGCAGCCTCGGGGCGTGGACACGGGCCCCATGCCCCCACGACTGGATGGTGGTCGCCCTGTGCGCCAGTAAGTGGGTGCTGGGACCGTGGGAGAGGGGAGGGGGAGCCAGGGGGAGGGTTTGGGGGAGGGGTGTGGGAGGGGGGGCAGGCAGGGCTGTGGCTCTCCGGGGGGTCCCCTTTGGGCACAGGAGCCTGCCTGGCCCCTCTAGCAAGGCCCAGTCTCATCTCCATCCCGAGTCCTTGCAAGGCCCTGTTCCGGGTGCTGGGGAAGCGGCTGGGGAAAAGCTGGCACCTCCTGTGGGCAGAGCCTGGCTCCCCCGGGAGAGACAGAGGATGAGCCGATGCCCAGTGCAGCAGCCGCTGGAATGAGGAGCAGGAGTCGGACGGGGAGGAGGGGGGTGTTAGGGGGGAGGAGCCGCCCCGTCTTCTAGACCAGTGTTTCCCAACCTTCTCTCATGATGAGAATCACCTGGTGGAGTTGTTAAAACACAGATTCCCGGATCCCAACTAAGAAGTGCTAAACTAGAATTTTTGGGAACATATAGGTAAAATTGCATACCTAACTTAGTGCTCTGTATATAAAATCTGTCTTAGAGCACTAGTTAAGTATACAATTTTACCTATATGTTCCCAAAAATTCTAGTTTAGCACTTCTTAGTTGGGACCCGGGAATCTGTGTTTTAACAACTCCACCAGGTGGTGACTCTCATCATGAGAGAAGGTTGGGAAACACTGTTCTAGACACTTGAGGAGGCCTAAGGGCCCCTGTGGGTTTCTGACTGGGATTTCTTACCCGAATGGCAGGCATGTCTGTCGTTAGGGTTTCAGCTGTCTGTGGGAGAACTGAACGAGAACTCCCGAGGCCCCTCCCCGTCCGAGGCCCCTCGGACGCAGACCCATGGCTCGGGTTTTGGGGGGCAAGGCTGTCAGCGCGTCACACCAGGCAGCCCCTCTGAGGGGCGTCCTTCTGAGCGAGGGGCCCTTTGTGACTGCCTGGTCGGAAGGGGCCCCCTCGGCCCAGCACTGACCCTGAGGAAGGAGCAGGGCCCGGCCCTGGGGCTGGGACCCAGGCCGGTGGAGAGCCTGAGGGGACATGTCCGTGGAGGCGGCCGCAGCCCCCGGGGAGGCGGGCAGGGCAGAGGCTGCCCCTCCTGAGCGCGGCCCGTGCTCTGCAGACGGCACTTTTCGGGAGATCCGGCTGGTGAAGGGCCGGAGCCCCTGCTCCGGGCTCCCCGAGATCAAGAACCTGAACGGCGTGGACCGCCTCTGCGGCCTGCACCAGACGGAGGCCACGGTGTTCTGCCGGGAGCTGGGGTGCGGGCCCGCGCTGCAGGCCTCCCGCCAGGGCGGGGACGCCGGCGGGAAGTTCATGACCTGCCAGGGCACGGAGCCCACCATCCGCAACTGCAGGCTCGACAACAAGCTGCGCAGCGGCTGCGACGCCCAGCAGGACGCCGAGGTGGTCTGCGCAGGTGAGGCCCCGGCAACGCCCCTTTCCCTCGGGACACCTGGGCCGCTGCAGAGGAAGTGGACGTGGAGCAGGTGGGGGGGGGGGGGGAGAGGAAAACGCTGAGTCAGAGGTGAGAGGGCAGGGCCTGCACCCACCCAGAGTGAGGGCAGGTGAACGGGCCTCCCTGGTGCCCCCAGAGCCAGTGCCTGTGGCCTGAGGGCCCTGGCATTGCCTCCAAGATTACACAGGGCCTTGGGGCACCAGCCTGGGACGTGCATGGGCACCTGCAGCACGCGACTCTGACCTCTGTTTTCTTCCTTTCTTTAATTTTTAAAATTATTTTTTTAATATATTTTATTGATTTTTCACAAAGAGGAGGGAGAGGGATAGAGAGCTAGAAACATCGATGTGAGAGAAACATCGATCAGCCGCCTCCTGCACACCCCCTACCGGGGATGTGCCCGCAACCCAGGCACATGCCCTTGACCGGAATCGAACCTGGGACCCTTCTGTCCGCAGGCCGACGCTCTATCCACCGAGCCACACCGGTTAGGGCCCAGGGGCCCTGCTTTCTGCGTGCAGGGCGGACAGGCCTCAGGCCGTCAGACTGCCCAGTGCTGGGCGGACCCGCTGCCCGGAGACAGAGGGCCCCTCGGGACGGAGCGCCCTGTGGTCCAGGGAGCCGGCTCCAGGTGAGCTGCCTGCCTGAGGACACCTGACTGACAGAAACTCCGTCTCCGCCCCCAGGACACACGGAGGCCCGGCTGGCGGGCGGCGAGCACCCCTGTGCCGGGCGCCTGGAGGTGAGGCGCGGCCTGACCTGGGGCACCGTCTGCGACCAGGACCTGGACCAGGCCACGGCCCACGTGGCGTGCCGGGAGCTGCAGTGCGGCGTGGCCGTGTCCACGCCCCCGGGCGCGCACTTTGGCCAGGGCTCGGGGCCCGTGTGGACGGAGGCCTTCCGCTGTGCGGGCAACGAGTCGCTGCTGTTCCACTGCCCGCGGGCGCCCGGGCACCGGTGTGGGCACGGCCAGGACGCCGGGCTCCGGTGCTCAGGTGAGGCCCCCCGGCCGCCCTTCCTCTGGATTCCTCCTGGGCGCCCCAACCCCAGCGCCCCAAGGAGCTGCCCGCCAGGAGGGTGCCCTGTTCCGTCAGAGGAAGTGCCTGCTGGGGGTTGTCGGAAGGGGAGGGTGGGCAGGAGCCTGGTCCTAGAGCAGTGTTTCCCAAACTTTTGACACGTGTGTGCCCCTTCTATGATTTTCGTAACGCTGAGTGCCCCTCGTACTCATGAGAACGTAGAATTAGGCGCAGCTAAGCACGGTGCAGTGCATATCCCCCCCAAACTCCGGTGCAACGAGTACCCCCACCAAACTCTTCCCGTGCCCCTGGGGGTGCGCGTACCACACTTTGGGAAACACTGTCCTAGAGGGACATTCTACCCGGCCCCCAGGGCAGGCCTCCAAGTGTGGGCTTCTCTGCGAAGATGTGTGAGCCAGTGCTCCGCCTGGGGAACAGGGGGAGCCGGTCAGAGCCAGGTGACAGCTCAGTGGCCACCACCTGGGGTTCCAAGAAGGAAATGGCCCTGTGCTGGGTCTCAGGGTCAAAGGAGAGCCTGACAGCAGCTCCCCGCAGAGTTCCGGCTGGCCAACGGCAGCAGCAGCTGTGAGGGCCGCGTGGAGCTCCAGGTCCAGGGGGCCTGGGCGCCCCTCTGTGCCGCCCACTGGGACCTCGTAGACGCCACCGTCCTGTGCCACCAGCTGCAGTGCGGCAGCGCCGTGGCCGTGCCCCCGGGCGGTCACTTTGGGCATGGGGGCGCCCCCCTCTGGCCCGACAGGTTCCACTGTGCCGGGACAGAGCCCTACCTGTGGCACTGCCCGGTGAGCACGCTGGGCGCCCCGGCCTGCGCCCCCGGACACTCGGCCTCCGCGGTCTGCTCAGGTGGGTCCGCAAGAGCCACGGGCACAGGGGCTGGGGGTGGACGGGCTGGGGGCAGGGGGTGGGGGTGGACGGGCTGGGGACAGGGGGTGGGGGTGGACGGGCTGGGGACAGGGGGTGGTGGAGGAGGATGGGCTGGGGGGCAGGGGCTGGGGGTGGTGGAGGAGGATGGGCTGGGGGGCAGGGGCTGGGGGTGGACGGGCTGGGGGCAGGGGGCGGGGGTGGACAGGCTGGGGACAGGGGGCGGGGGCGGACGGGCTGGTGGGCAGAGGGGCTGGGAGTGGACGGGCTGGGGACAGGGGGTGGGGGTGGGGGTGGACGGGCTGGGGACAGGGGGTGGGGGTGGATGGGCTGGGGGCAGGGGCTGGGGGTGGACGGGCTGGGGACAGGGGGCGGGGGCGGACGGGCTGGGGGCAGGGGGTGGGGGTGGACGGGCTGGAGGCAGGGGAGTCCTCTCCCTCCTCCAGGCCAGGGCGCCTCCCTGAGCCCCTGCCCGCCCCGCCAGCCCGCCTCTCCCTCCGCCAGGCCTGGCCCAGGCGCTGCGGCTGCGGGACGGCCAGAGCCGCTGTGACGGCCGCGTGGAGGTGGCGCTGGACGGCGCGTGGGGCCGCGTCCTGGACGACGCGTGGGACGCGCGCGGCGCGGGCGTGGTGTGCCGGCAGCTGGGCTGCGGGGCGGCGGAGCGGGCCTACGATGCCCCCGCCCCGGGGCGCGGGGTCCGCGTGGGGCTGAGCCGCGTGCGCTGCGCAGGCACCGAGGCCCGCCTGGCCCAGTGCGACGTGTCCGCCGCCCCGCTGGCGCCGCCGGGGGCCGCGCGGGACGCGGGCGTGGTTTGTGCGGGTGAGTGAGGACCGGGCTGCCCCCCAACACCCAACACCCCCTCCCCGCCCTCTTATCCTTCCCCCCAGGGGCCGCTGACTGGGGGGGGGTCTCCGCAGGGAGCCGCGGGGTGCGCCTGGCCGCGGGCCCGGGCCGCTGCGCGGGGCGCGTGGAGCTGCTCCGCGGGGGCGCGTGGGGCACCGTGTGCGACGACGGCTGGGACCAGCGGGACGCGCACGTGGTGTGCCGCCAGCTGGGCTGCGGCCGCGCCCTGGGCGCCCCGGGGGCGGCCGCCTTCGGGCCCGGGTCCGGGCGCATCTGGCTGGACGAGCTGGGCTGCGAGGGCACGGAGTCCGCGCTGTGGCGCTGCCCGTCGGGGGGCTGGGGCCGGCACGACTGCGGCCACAAGGAGGACGCCGGCGCCGTCTGCGCAGGTCAGTCCGGGAGCTGAGCGCGGTCCGGGCCGCGGGGTCCGAGGGGCGCGGCGTCTCCGCGGGTGAAGCACTGGCTCAGGGAGGCTCCGGCCCCGGAAACATCCATCAGCTGCCTCTTGCACACCCCCTACTGGGGATGTGCCCGCAACCAAGGTCCATGCTGACCCTGTGTCCACTGAGCCAAACCAGTGTTAGGGCTCCTTTTTTAATTTTTTAAAATTTGTATAGTCACTGCTAAACTGGTCATCTTATACAAAAAGTGTTATTCTGTATTTCAAGTGATTTCCAAGGTTGGGTTTCAGACAATCAGCGGGCACCCCTGCTAGGGCCTCACTTCTGGGCCTTCACTCTGGTTGCCGGGCTTACCTGCCGGCGGCTGCCTTAGGGCGGGGAGAGCGCTGTGGGCGGGCGGGGTGGGCGCCGGGCTCCCTGGGCCTGGGCGCTGGGCCTCCTTCGGAGCCGTCCCGGCCGGACCGCGCTGTCTTGCAGAGTCGGTGGCCCTGCGGCTGCAGGGGGGCGCCCGCTGCGCGGGCTGGCTGGAGGTGCTCTACAACGGCTCCTGGGGCGCCGTGTGCGGGAACTCCCTGAGGCTGCACTCCGTGTCCGTCATCTGCAAGCAGCTGGGCTGCGGGGAGCAGGGCTGGGTGGACAGAAAGCCCGTCCGCGCCGACCGGGGCATCTCCTGGGTGGACAAGATTGAGTGCCGCCCGCTGCACAACTCCACGCTGTGGCAGTGCCCCTCGGACCCCTGGCGCCCGCGCTCCTGCGCCCACGAGGAAGAGGCCTGGATCACCTGCACAGGTGGCGCCGCCGTGGACCGTGGCGGGGGGCCGGGTCACTCGGGCATCACAGACTTCATCCTGACGCTGTTCAGGGCCTTCACCCGGGGACTGCCCCTGCCTCACCCAACAGGACTGCCAGCGAACATGACGCAGGATTCTGGGGAGCCCCTCAACTGCTCCACCACCCGCAGCTGCCCAGGTGCTCACTCCTGTGCCCCTCTGCCTGCCCCTGCTCCCCCCGCCCCGCAGTGATCCCCTCCAGTGCCCCCGCCCCGCAGTGACCCCGCCCCACAGTGACCCCGCCCCGCAGTGATCCTCTCCAGTGCCCCCGCCCCGCAGTGACCCCGCCCCGCAGTGACCCCCTCCAGTGACCCCGCCCTGTAGTGACCTCCCCCGCAGTGACCCCGCCCCACAGTGACCCCGCCCCACAGTGACCCCGCCCCGCAGAGACCCCCCCGCAGTGACCTCCCCGCAGTGACCCCGCCCCGCAGTGACCCCCACCCCGCAGTGCCCCTGTAGTGCCCCCGTTCCACAGTGCCCCCGCCCCACAGTGTCCCCGCCCCGCAGTGACCTCCCCCCGCAGTGACCCCACCCCTCAGTGACCCCGCCCCTCAGTGACCTCCCCCTCAGTGACCCCCCCGCAGTGATCCCCCCGCAGTGACCTCCCCCTCAGTGACCCCGCCCTGCAGTGACCCCGCAACACAGTGACCCCCTGCCCCGCAGTGACCCCCCCCCGCAGTGACTCCCCCGCAGTGCCCCCGCCCCACAGTGACCTCCCCCCACAGTGACCCCGCCCCTCAGTGACCCCGCCCCTCAGTGACCCCGACACAGTGACCCCCTGCCCCGCAGTGACCCCCCCCGCAGTGACTCCCCCGCAGTGACCCCGCCCCTCAGTGACCCCGCCCCTCAGTGACCCCGCCCCGCAGTGACCTCTCCCACAGTGACCCCGCCCCGCAGTGACCCCGCCCCGCAGTGACCCCGCCCCACAGTGACCCCGCCCCACAGTGACCTCCCCCACAGTGACCCCCCAGCAGTGACCCCCCGCAGTGACCTCCCCCGCAGTGACCCCCCGCAGTGACCTCCCCCGCAGTGACCTCCCCCGCAGTGACCTCCCCCGCAGTGACCCCCCCGCAGTGACCCCGCCCCGCAGTGACCCCTCCGCAGTGACCCCCCCGCAGTGACCCCCCCGCAGTGACCCCCCCGCAGTGACCCCGCCCCGCAGTGACCCCCCCGCAGTGACCCCGCCCCGCAGTGACCCCCCCGCAGTGACCCCCCGCAGTGACCCCCCCGCAGTGACCTCCCCCGCAGTGACCCGGCCCCGCAGTGACCCCCCCGCAGTGACCCCCCGCAGTGACCCCCCCGCAGTGACCCCCCGCAGTGACCCCCCCCGCAGTGACCTCCCCCGCAGTGACCCCGCCCCGCAGTGACCCCCCCGCAGTGACCCCCCCCGCAGTGACCCCCCCGCAGTGACCCGCCCCGCAGTGACCCCCCCGCAGTGACCCCCCGCAAGTGACCCCCCCCGCAGTGACCCCCCGCAGTGACCCCCCGCAGTGACCCCCCGCAGTGACCCCCCGCAGTGACCCCCCCGCAGTGACCCCGCCCCGCAGTGACCCCCCGCAGTGACCCCCCCGCAGTGACCCCCCGCAGTGACCCCCCGCAGTGACCTCCCCCTCAGTGACCCCGCAGTGACCTCCCCGCAGTGACCCCCCCGCAGTGACCCCCCCGCAGTGACCCGCAGCGCCCCCTTTTGCAGAGGAGGGCTCGGTGCGGGTGCGCGGCGGCCAGGACGGCTGCGCGGGCCGCGTGGAGCTGTGGCACGCGGGCGCCTGGGGCACCGTGTGCGACGACGCCTGGGACCTGGCGGACGCGGAGGTCGTGTGCCGCCAGCTGGGCTGCGGCGGGGCCCTCAGCGCCCCCGCGGGCGCCGCCTTCGGCCCGGGCTCGGGGCCCGTGTGGCTGGACCAGGTGGGGTGCCGGGGCAGCGAGGCGGCGCTGGGGGGCTGCCCCGCGGAGCCGTGGGGGCACACGGACTGCGGGCACAAGGAGGATGCGGGCGTGCGCTGCTCCCGTGAGTGGGCCGGGGGGCCGGGGGTGCTGTTGGGGGCTGGGGAGGGGGCTGGGGAGCTCCTCTGGGTGTCCCCTCACTGTGGGTGCTCGCAGGGCCCCGAGGCTGCCCCTGGGCTGGGTTCCTCCGAGGGGTGGGCACAGGCTGCCTCCGTGGGGGTCCAAGGCCAGGCTGAGCGGGGCTGAGGCTCAGAGGGTCTGGGCTGCTCGGGGCTATGGCCGCCCCCTCTGACTCGCCCGCGGTGTGGCCCTTTCTCCTGCAGGGGACAGAGGGCCCACAGTCCCACCACCAGCAGCAGGTGGGTGTCCTTCCTCAGCCTCCACTCCCACCTCCTGTCTGACCCGGACCCAGAGGAGCCTGCACTGGGGTCACATGGAGGGGCGCCCTGGAGTCTCCATGGACACCTGTGCCCCAGTCTGGGGTGCTGAGTGGTCAGGGGCAGGGAGGGCCACGGTGCCGGAGACGCCCTGTGGCTGGGGTACATGGGCCAGCCGGGTGGAGAGCTGCGAGGAGGGACAGCGGCCTGGGTCCGTCCCTTCCCTTCCCTGAGGGGTTTTGCCCCTTGTGCTATGGCCTCTTAGAAGCTGTGGCTACGTCCAAAGCAAAGGCGAGGGCAGTGGCTGTCAGGATGGTAGGAGCTGTCCTTCTCCCCCTCGGCCCTGAGCTGTGGGACCCCCTCAGGGTCATCTGTGGGGGAGGAGAGGACAAGCCCATCTCTCCTCTGGGTGCCCCTCCCCCCTGACTCAGGTGGTCCAGGCCGGAGGTCACAATTCCCCAGGCAGTGCGAGCACTCAGGGAGGACCCGCCTCTCACTGTCCCTACAGGCCCCACCCTGGCCCCGCTGCCTTCCCTCAAGGCTGGGACCCTGCCCATGATCCTCTGCTTCGTCCTGGGCACCCTCCTGGGCGTCGTCTCCCTGATCCTGGGGGTGCAGTGGTACCGCAGAGGAGCCTGCGGGGGTAGGTGGCAGGCATGGCCGGCGAGGGGCACCCGGGGCCTGGGGATGGGAAGGCTGGGGGGCACACGCTGAGGTCCCAGCCCATCGCCGGCCCTCTCTGTCCTGGTCACTGTCCTGCATGCTGGGTGTCACCCCCTCTCCCCTGAGGGGACATGTCAGTGACCCACGAGTGGTCGCCTTGTTGGGGACGGGGGGGGGGGTGCTCTGAGCTCTGCTCCATTGCTGAGAGGAGCTGGGTGAGGGGCAGGCTCGAGGGCCCCCCATTCCTGAGCCACCCGAACAGCTGGGAGCGCTCTTCTTGGCTGCCCACGGAAGTGTGTGTTCCTTGTGCCCCTGACGGGACCCGAGGCAGGAGGAGCTGAGGGGTGGAGGGTCCCGCCCGCCTGCAGGGGCCGGCAGCTGTCGGCTGGGACAGCGGGAGTGTCAGGGCGACAGGTGTGGGCGTGGCTCTGCAGGTTCTGGAATGCTGGGGACTCGGCCCCCGGAAGCTGTTTACGAGGACATTGGTGCTGTCCCCATGGGGGAGAAGCTCGAAGGGTCCAGTGTGTCCCCGGACCTGCTGCCGGAGGAGGACTATGACGATGCCTGGGAGCCGGGCCCCGAGGAACAGGAGGCGGAGCAGGAGGCGGCGCAGGAGGAGGGGACGGCCCTGAGCTCCATGGGTGTGCACCTGTGCGCCGTGGCGGCCGCTGGGCTCGTCCTGCTGTACTGCTGCTGCTTCCACAGCTCCGCGCCGGCCAGCGCCTACATTTAAACACCCCGAGCCCGTCTGTGTGTGTGTGTGTGTGTGTGTGTGTGTGTGCCCTCGCTGCCGAGCCCCTCTGTGTGTGTGTGTGTGTGTGTGTGTGTGTGCGCCCTCACTGCCGAGCCCCTGTGTGTGTGTGTGTGTGTGTGTGTGCGCCCTCACTGCCGAGCCCCTCTGTGTGTGTGTGTGTGTGTGTGTGCCCTCACTGCCGAGCCCCTGTGTGTGTGTGTGTGTGTGTGCCCTCACTGCTGAGCCCCTCTGTGTGTGTGTGTGTGTGTGTGTGTGTGTGTGTGTGCCCTCACTGCCGAGCCCCTGTGTGTGTGTGTGTGTGTGTGTGTGTGTGCCCTCACTGCCGAGCCCCTCTGTGTGTGTGTGTGTGTGTGTGTGTGTGTGCGCCCTCACTGCCGAGCCCCTCTGTGTGTGTGTGTGTGTGTGTGTGTGTGCCCTCACTGCCGAGCCCCTCTGTGTGTGTGTGTGTGTGTGTGTGTGTGTGCCCTCACTGCCGAGCCCCTCTGTGTGTGTGTGTGTGTGTGTGTGTGCCCTCACTGCCGAGCCCCTCTGTGTGTGTGTGTGTGTGTGTGTGTGCGCCCTCACTGCCGAGCCCCTCTGTGTGTGTGTGTGTGTGTGTGTGTGTGCCCTCACTGCCGAGCCCCTCTGTGTGTGTGTGCGCCCTCACTGCTGTCTCTGGCTTGGGCTGTGCTCCTCGGCTGTCCCTTCAGCATTGCTTGTTACCCTGGCATCTTATGAGCAGGCGTGGATTTTAGGGAGAGCCCTAGATTTTTATTGGGGCTTCTTTTCATGGCTGTGCACAGAGTCCTTCTAGAACCCTGTTCCCAGTCAGCTACAGGGGCAGAGGGGGTGCAGCGGGGGGCGGGGGTGGAGGAGGGAGCAGATGGTGGGAGGAGACGCTTTACTCTCATCCCAACACATGCCCATCCTTGTCTGGCCCTCTGGCGTTGAGGTGCGATGACAAGCCAGGGCCCGGTTGTCCTGGAGGCTCAGAGGAATAGCTGAGACGCCATGCCTGTCTCTCTCCTTAAGCACAGGTGGGCTCCGCCCCCTCCGGCCCCCGGAGCGCAGGCTGGGACTGAACACCCCCGTGGCCTCGGCCGCAGGACCTGACGACCCAGCTGGCCATCAGGGACCCCAGCAAGATGCCCGGGGGCTTCCATGTTCCTCATCTCTAAAAAAGATGCTATTAAACGCCCTCTGAATGCAGCCATCCACCCATTCATTCACCTCAGAGCCTTCCCCAGACATCCACCGTGGCCACACACATACACACACACACACACTCACCGCCCACCCCCGTTCTCTGCCTCACCCTGGTCTGGTAAGGGCTCTGAGTGTTTTCAACTCTCCTCACCCACAGCCTTTTGCCCGAAGGTTCTACAGGATGTGGAGTGGGCTCCCTATGAACCAGCTCCTGGCCATTCTACTTCCGCCTGCAGACAGCCCTCCCCCAGGGTCCCCGGCACCCACACTGCCCTGCTCTGATGACCCACCAGGCCCTTTATGACCACACTCACCCTGACCACACCGTGACCAGACCACCCTGGCCACACCTCCCACACCTGCTCTGGGCCATGCTGCTCTGTGTCCTCTTCCCTGTGTGGGTCTGGGGTAGGTTTGCCAACAACCATGTATCTGATCGCTGTTAACTCACTCTCCCACGTCAGTGTCTTGGAAAAGACCAGGTTTGATCATCCTGTGAGACCCTCATCTTTAGGGTCTCCCAGGGATGGCAGCCATCACCACCCACCTGTCCGGCTCCCCCTGAGGGCCTGGCCAGCCAGCTGGGAGTTCTCTCTGAGCACTGTCACCCACCCCCAGTGCTTCTCCCCACCCACCCACCCCCTGGGCTGTGAGGGAGGCACAGCTTGTGGCCTCAAGGACCACTGTGCTGCAGACGATGGAAGTCAGTCTCTTCCGGACAGGAAGCCGGGTGAGGGAGATGGGGTGATGTCCACGGAGGTGGGACGAAGCCTCTGGGGTGAAGTGGGTGAGAAAGGCTCGTAGCCAGGTCCTGGGACTGTGGCAGGGACAGCTCCTGGCAGAGCCTCAGGGGACAAGAAGGTGTGTTCTGGATGTTTGAGCTCACCTGGCACACCTGTGTACACACAGGAGCCTCCCTCTGGCCTCAGGAGGTGGCCAGCCTGGCTCGTGGTGCATGCTGGGTGTTCCTGAGCTCCCAGCAGGGAGCTGGGCTCAGTGCATGGCCAGGCTGCTTGGGGGAGGGGCCTCAGCACAGAGGGTCCTGCTGACAGGGTCCTCCTCCCGCTGGAGACGGGGAAGATCTACCCTCTCTTAAACTGCTTCTCTGGCAAATCTCTTAGAAAGTAACGTTCACTGATGATATTCTGATTAGAAAATAATACACATTATCATAAATTTTATACCTCATGGAACCAAGAAAGAAAATGAAAACCACACACACACACAATAAAATAAACAATGGTCCCAGGATAATTTTCTCGGCCCCTCTATGTTGGTCTGGGACTCGGATGGAAGCCTTAGCCCCGGATGGAGGTCTGGGTCCTGGGAGGTCAGTTTTGGCCAGGGAGGGAGGTCTGGGCTCTGGTGGGCGGTCTGGTACCATAACTGGATATTGGGTTATGGAGTATTGGCCTGGGTTCCGTATGGAGATCCAGTCCCCTGATACACCACCATGTTCCCTGCTTGTGGCCTGGGCCCTGGGCTGGCATTCTCAGCCCCGCCGTGATGGTCTGGGCCCCGGATGTACAATAGATCTGAGCACGGGATGTAGGGCTGGGTGCTTGGAAGGAGGTGTGGTCACTAGGGGGCGCTATGGGCCCAGGTGGGAGGTTTGGGTCAAGGGCAGGGCCTGGGGACGATGGACTAGCCTGGGTATTTAGACTCCAATAAAAGTCTGAGTTACAGATGGAGAACTACACCCCTGATACAAGACTGGATTCTGTGTTAAAAAGAAAATGAAAGCCATGATTCTCTCCAAAATGAATACACCAACTCTCCTTGGTTTATATCCATTGAGAACTTTTCTTTGATCAGAGGCACAGATATACGCATGAGCTACCGCAACGCATTCTGTGCTTCCCGTGTGTTTCCCGCTGAAAACATGCGCTGTAACATATGCCCTTGTCCACACCGTCATGCTAAACGGCTTCCTACGTGTTTTCCATCGAGTGCTTGTTCCTCTCGGACGGGGCACGAGGCTCCTGTTCCAGGACTTTCTCCGCACAGAGATGTGTCTCCCTCCTTCCCTATGGCCGGTCCCGGGTCATGCCCGTTGGTAATGGTTTTGGTCCAAGGGCTGGGTCCCTGATGACACATCGGAAGGATCCGTGCTCATCCACACACACACCTTCGGGTGCGGCGGCAAACGGTGCGTCTCCCACGGAGCCCGCTCCCGGCTCCCCCCTGGCCCTGCAGGAGGCCCAGCCCCGGCCTCACCAGTGCTGCGGGGCTGCCCGGGCCCAGGCCTGGGGTGAGCCTGTGCTCGGTGTGACAGATGAGGCCACTGATAGGCGGGGAGGCGGGGAGGCGGGGAGGCGGGGAGGCGGGGAGGCTGGCGGGGTTCCCCCCTTCCTTCTCAGAAGGGCTGCGCGCTGAGCAGGAGTCCACCGCCTGCACCTGGGCTGGCACAGCACCAGCGGTGACCAGGGATGGCCTTGTCCCCTCTGAGGCTGTGGCCCCTCCTCCTGGCCTGCTGGACCCTCCCTGCGGGTGAGTGCTGCTGTCCGGAGGGCTGGGGCTGGGAGGACGCCGGCCTGCGAGAGGCAGGCATCCTTCCTGGGAGGGGCCGCTGTCGAATGGTGTGTGTGCGTCCCGGGAGCTCAGCCAGGGCCTCGGGGGGGGAGGGGAGGCCTCAGCCCTTTGCAGACCAGCGGCCGTGACCCTCCCGTGTGGGAACGGGGCCTCGGACATTCCTTTTTGTTACCGTGTTCTGTCATACATGTCATCTACACGGAGTGTGAGGAAACGAGGACATGGAAGTGAAGGGGACAGGTTAGGATGGACGGTGAAAATTCCGGACAGAACCTTCTGGAGCCGTGCGTGCCACCCATGACCGCGCCTCCCTGTGCTCTGTCCCAGGCCCGGCGGCAGCGGCGGGGGAGTCGGTGGCCCTGCTGAGAGGCGGGAACCGCTGCGAGGGGCTGGTGCGGGTCCGGCTGGGCGGCCGGGAGGGCCCGGTGTGCGGGGACCACTGGGGCCTGCAGGAGGCGGCGGTCGTTTGCAGGCAGCTGGACTGCAGCGACGTCCACGTGGCGCCCACGTACGTGGTGTGGCCCCAGGAGCGGCAGCCCTTCTTGCTGCGGGGCGTGCGGTGCCGGGGCTCGGAGGCCTCGCTCTGGGACTGCGCCCCGGGCTCCTGGGAGCCGCTGGGGGGCTGCGCGTGCGAGTGCATCGGCGCCGTCCACTGCAAAGGTAGGGGGCCCGGGGAGGGGGTCCTGGGAGGGGGTCCGGGGAGGGGGTCCTGGGAGGGGGTCCGGGGAGGGGGTTTGGGGAGGGGGTTCGGGGAGGGGGTCCTGGGAGGGGGTCCGGGGAGGGGGTTTGGGGAGGGGGTTCGGGGAGGGGGTCCTGGGAGGGGGTTCGGGGAGGGGGTTCGGGGAGGGGGTTCTGGGAGGGGGTCCGGGGAGGGGGTCCAGGGAGGGGGTCCTTGGAGGGGATCCGGGGAGGGGGTTCCGGGGAGGGGGCCTGGGAGGGGGTCCGGGTAGGGGGTCCAGGGAGGGGGTCCTTGGAGGGGGTCCGGGGAGGGGGTCCAGGGAGGGGGTCCTTGGAGGGGGTCCGGGGAGGGGGTTCCGGGGAGGGGGCCTGGGAGGGGATCCGGGGAGGGGGTCCAGGGAGGGGGTCCTTGGAGGGGGTCCGGGGAGGGGGTTCCGGGGAGGGGGCCTGGGAGGGGATCCGGGGAGGAGGTCCTGGGAGGGGGTCCTTGGAGGGGGTCCGGGGAGGGGGTTCCGGGGAGGGGGCCTGGGAGGGGATCCGGGGAGGGGGTCCTGGGAGGGGGTCTGGGGAGGGGGTTCGGGGAGGGGGTCCGGGGAGGGGGTTCAGGGAGGGGGTCCTGGGAGAGGGTCCGGGGAGGGGGTCCGGGGATGGGGTCCTGGGACGGGGTCCTGGGAGGGGATCCGGGGAGGGGGCACCGGGGGAAGCCCCAGGACCGTGACCCTCAGGCCCTCGTGTCCTTGTCCTGGCCCCGCAGGAGCAGGGCGGATGGGATGGCCCAGGGTGGCCCTTTCGGGGTTCATTTGCCTCCTCCCGCCAATGGTGACCGCCCGAGAGGAACGGTGGGGGGGGGGGGTCTGTCTCCCTCTCCCACCTGCTCTGGCGGGGCTCCCGGGGTGCCAACATCCCAGGAGCTGGGGTGCTGGGAGCTCAGTCCTCCCACCCACTGTTGGGGGCCTTCGGGCAGCAGGAGGGGAGGCAGCGGCTCCCCCCTCCCCTCCTGAGGGGTTCTGGGCGGAAAAGGAGGGTCTCTGCAGACAAGCCGGGGCTCCGCCTCTGTCCGGGAGCCGTGGTGTGCAGAGTGGGGTGCACGCCCCAGACCGGTGGGCCCGGTGAGCAGCGGGCAGGCCCTGTGCTGTCTGCAGGTGGGAAGCTGGCGAAGGTGGGGCTCGGCCGAGGAGGCAGCCCCTGTGCGGGGACCTTGGAGATCAGATGGACCGAGGACTTTCCTGTGACGTGTGGTTTGCACTTGGAGGAGGCGGGCGTCCTCTGCAGGAGCCTGGGGTGCGGCCCAGTGCTCCAGGCATCCAGGCCCCACCTCTCTGGGGCCTCTGGGAGCAGGGGACCCAAGATCGTGACCTGCCAGGGGACAGAGTCCAACATCTTCAACTGCAGGTTCAACCTGAACGTCCAGGACCAGTGCAACCTGCCGACAGACGCGCAGGTCGTGTGTGCTGGTGAGGGCGCCCGGCCTGTTGAGAGGCAGGCATCCTTCCACAGCTGTGCTCGGGGGACTGACAGGGACATCCGCTGACGAGAGAGGCGGGTGAGGGGGGGGGGATTGGCCACCCCTGCCACCAGCCTGCATCCCTGCCCTGGGAGGTGCTGGGTGCAGCCAGCGCTGGGGTGTAAACTGACCGGGTGACTAAAGTGCCCGCCAGACACAGAGCCCAAGTCTGGGGACGGAGGTGGGTGGGTGGGTGGGTGGGGGGGAGAGTGGGGAGGACAGATGTGGGCCCTTTGGGTGCATGGGGTGGGGGCTGTGCTCACTTACCCCTGGTTTGGGGGAGCCCAGAGGTGGGAAATGAACGTTTGTTGTCGGAATAGGAGTGAGATGCTGAGGAATGGGGTGTCCTCCCTGCCTGCAGGCCCCAGGTACCCCGGTGCCCTCAGGGCTGGGCAAGACAGGTGGCTCTGGTCCTCCTGTCCTCCCTCCCTGCCCTGAGGGGCTGTTTCTGTCCAACGTCTGCCCCCAGGACACACGGAGGCCCGGCTGGCGGGCGGCGAGCACCCCTGTGCCGGGCGCCTGGAGGTGAGGCGCGGCCTGACCTGGGGCACCGTCTGCGACCAGGACCTGGACCAGGCCACGGCCCACGTGGCGTGCCGGGAGCTGCAGTGCGGCGTGGCCGTGTCCACGCCCCCGGGCGCGCACTTTGGCCAGGGCTCGGGGCCCGTGTGGACGGAGGCCTTCCGCTGTGCGGGCAACGAGTCGCTGCTGTTCCACTGCCCGCGGGCGCCCGGGCACCGGTGTGGGCACGGCCAGGACGCCGGGCTCCGGTGCTCAGGGGACAGTAAGTTTTTATGTGACTGTAAAGAGCTGTGGGTTTTTCACAAGTGCCCTTTATCGTGTTGAGGAATGTTCCCTTTTTTTCCTGGTTCAGGGAGTGGTGATTTTTTTTTTTTTAAATATAGTTTATTGATTTTTACAGACAGGAAAGGAGAGGGATAGAGTTAGAAACATTGATCAGCTGCCTCTTGCACACCTCCAACTGGGGATGTGCCCGCAACCAAGGTACATGCCCTTGACCGGAATCGAACCTGGGACCTTTCAGTCCGCAGGCCGACGCTCTATCCACTGAGCCAAACCAGTTAGGACCATGGAGTGTCTTTATCATGAGCATCTGTTGGATTTTGTCAAATGCTTTTTCTGCATCAACTGAAATGCTCATGCTTTGTTTCGTTTTTAAAAAATATGTTTTTATTGATTTTTAGAGAGGAGGGAGAGGGATAGAGAGGTAGGAACATTGATGAGAGAGAAACATCGATCGGCTGCCCCCTTCACGCCCCACACTGGGGATCAGGCCTACAACCTGGGGATGTGCCCTGACCCAGAATCAATGGTGACCTCCTGGTTCATAGGTAGATGCTCAACCACTGAGCCACACCTGCCAGGCTCCATTAAATTTTTTTTAAACGCAATAAATTCTCTTTGGTTCCTTTTTTCAGTCCGCACACCGATGATCTACCACTGAGCCAATCCGCTTTCGGCCTGGTTCCTTTTTAAATAATTGATATCCCTTAATTGAAATTCCCTGTGTGATGAAGTATCATTAAACTGGTTTTCTTTAGTCCTTGGAGCATATTTAAGACACTTATTTAAGGTCTTCCTCTAGTGAGTATAATGATTTGGTTTCCTCGGGGACAGTTTCTGTGTGTTTTTTCCATGTGAATGTGTCATAGTTTCTTGATACTTTGCACGGACGAGACATTGCTAATTTACGATAGTATGGTTACTTCAAAAATCAGATTCTCTCCCACGCAGTGTTTGTTGTTGCTAACTGCTGTGGGTCATAGCGGTGCTCTCTGCCAGTGACAGCGATGTCACTCCCCGAGGACGTTTACCGGCTCTCAGCTGTCCTTCCCTGGTGTGGGGGCGGCTGGGCTTCACAAAGCCTGCAGTGAGGAAGGGTCTGCAGGGTCCGGAGCAATGCTGACACCCTCTTCCCTCACCCTCCACCCCCCACCCTAGGGTTCCGGCTGGCCAACGGCAGCAGCAGCTGTGAGGGCCGCGTGGAGCTCCAGGTCCAGGGGGCCTGGGCGCCCCTCTGTGCCGCCCACTGGGACCTCGCAGACGCCACCGTCCTCTGCCACCAGCTGCAGTGCGGCAGCGCCGTGGCCGTGCCCCCGGGCGGCCACTTCGGGCATGGGGGCGCCCCCCTCTGGCCCGACAGGTTCCACTGTGCGGGGACAGAGCCCTACCTGTGGCACTGCCCGGTGAGCACGCTGGGCGCCCCGGCCTGCGCCCCCGGACACTCGGCCTCCGCGGTCTGCTCAGGTGGGTCCGCAAGAGCCACGGGCACAGGGGCTGGGGGTGGACGGGCTGGGGGCAGGGGGTGGTGGAGGAGGATGGGCTGGGGGGCAGCTGGGGGTGGACGGGCTGGGGGCAGGGGGCGGGGGTGGACAGGCTGGGGGCAGGGGGCGGGGGTGGACGGGCTGGGGGATAGGGGGGCGGGGGCGGACGGGCTGGTGGGCAGAGGGGCTGGGAGTGGACGGGCTGGGGACAGGGGGTGGGGGTGGGGGTGGACGGGCTGGGGGCAGGGGGTGGGGGTGGACGGGCTGGGGGACAGGGGCTGGGGGTGGACCGGCTGGGGACAGGGGGTGGGGGTGGACGGGCTGGGGGACAGGGGGTGGGGGTGGACGGGCTGGGGGCAGGGGCTGGGGGTGGAAGGGCTGGGGACAGGGGGCGGGGGCGGACGGGCTGGGGGCAGGGGGTGGTGGAGGAGGATGGGCTGGGGGGCAGGGGCTGGGGGTGGACCGGCTGGGGACAGGGGGCGGGGGCGGACGGGCTGGGGGACAGGGGGTGGGGGTGGACGGGCTGGGGGCAGGGGAGTCCTCTCCCTTCTCCAGGCCAGGGCGCCTCCCTGAGCCCCTGCCCGCCCCGCCAGCCCGCCTCTCCCTCCGCCAGGCCTGGCCCAGGCGCTGCGGCTGCGGGACGGCCAGAGCCGCTGTGACGGCCGCGTGGAGGTGGCGCTGGACGGCGCGTGGGGCCGCGTCCTGGACGACGCGTGGGACGCGCGCGGCGCGGGCGTGGTGTGCCGGCAGCTGGGCTGCGGGGCGGCGGAGCGGGCCTACGATGCCCCCGCCCCGGGGCGCGGGGTCCGCGTGGGGCTGAGCCGCGTGCGCTGCGCGGGCACCGAGGCCCGCCTGGCCCAGTGCGACGTGTCCGCCGCCCCGCTGGCGCCGCCGGGGGCCGCGCGGGACGCGGGCGTGGTTTGTGTGGGTGAGTGAGGACCGGGCTGCCCCTCAACACCCAACACCCCCTCCCCGGTCTTATCCTTCCCCCCAACCCCTCTCCCCTGACTCCCCCCCCAGGGGCCGCTGACTGGGGGGGTCTCCGCAGGGAGCCGCGGGGTGCGCCTGGCCGCGGGCCCGGGCCGCTGCGCGGGGCGCGTGGAGCTGCTCCGCGGGGGCGCGTGGGGCACCGTGTGCGACGACGGCTGGGACCTGCGGGACGCGCACGTGGTGTGCCGCCAGCTGGGCTGCGGCCGCGCCCTGGGCGCCCCGGGGGCGGCGGCCTTCGGGCCCGGGTCCGGGCGCATCTGGCTGGACGAGCTGGGCTGCGAGGGCACGGAGTCCGCGCTGTGGCGCTGCCCGTCGGGGGGCTGGGGCCGGCACGACTGCGGCCACAAGGAGGACGCCGGCGCCGTCTGCGCAGGTCGGTGCAACCCCCAGCCGGCCCGGGGGAGGGTGAGAGGGATCTGCCCCGCTGGGGGGTCCTCCTGGGGAGGGGGCAGGGGGAGGGGGCCCGGGCCGGCCTCACGGGCCTCTCCCCGCAGGGCTCACCGGGCTGCGGCTGCGGGGCGGCGGGCCGTGCGCCGGGCGCCTGGAGGTGCTGCACAACGGCACGTGGGGCGGCGTGTGCGGGCCGCTGGGCGCCGCCGCGCTGGCCGTGCTGTGCGGGCAGCTGGGCTGCGGGGCCCCGGGCCGCCTGCGGGCGGCGGGGCGGGCGCCGGGCGCCGCGGGGCCGCTCTGGGTGGCCTCCATCCAGTGCCGCCACCGGCACGACCTGGCGCCCTGGCAGTGCCCGTCCGCGCCCTGGGACCCGCACTCCTGCCCGCGCCAGGAGGAGGCCTGGGTGGAGTGCGCAGGTGAGGGGCCGGGTGTGTGTGTGTGTGTGTGTGTGTGTAAGGAGGGGCCCAGATCTGGCCTGACGGGGAGTCCCCGCCGCCGTCATGGCTCAGGCCCTCTGCGCTAAGGCCCTGGTCGGCAAACTGCGGCTCTTTGGTCCCTGGAGTTTTTAGCAAAGGCCAGCTTAGGAGTACCCTGATGAGGTTAATGACAACGTAGGTAGCTATATAGTTTAAGTTTAAAAAATTGGCTCTCAGAGGAAATTTCAATCGTCCTGTTGATAGTTGGCTCTGTGGACTGAGAAGTTTGCCGACCACTGGGCTAAGGGATGACACGGCCACTGTCACTCTGCCGTGGAGACCTGGGCATGCTAGTCCAGGAGAGGGCCTTGCCCTGAGGGTCTGACCTCCTGACTCCCCTGGGTGGGAGCAGCACCCCGGGTGGGAGCAGCAGCCCCGGGTGGGAGCAGCAGCCCTGGGTGGAGCAGCACCCCGGGTGGGAGCAGCACCCCCGGGTGGGAGCAGCAGCCCCGGGTGGGAGCAGCAGCCCCGGGTGGAGCAGCACCCCGGGTGGGAGCAGCACCCCCGGGTGGGAGCAGCACCCGGGGTGGGAGCAGCACCCCCGGGTGGGAGCAGCACCCCGGGTGGGAGCAGCACCCCGGGGTGGGAGCAGCAGCCCCGGGTGGGAGCAGCAGCCCCGGGTGGGAGCAGCAGCCCCGGGTGGAGCAGCACCCCGGGTGGGAGCAGCAGCCCTGGGTGGGAGCAGCAGCCCCGGGTGGGAGCAGCACCCTGGGTGGGAGCAGCAGCCCCGGGTGGGAGCAGCAGCCCCGGGTGGAGCAGCAGCCCTGGCTGCGCAGGCGCCCATGGAGGAGCCCGGACAGTGTGTGTGGAGCCCCTCACCCTGTCCCGGCCCTGGGCTAACGGTGCAGCCCTCATCGGAAGCAGACATCCCTGGGGCCGGAGAGAAAAGGGAAAAGGCTTTCCCAGGATTTGAAGCCACCAGCCTTGCAAATACTTTCCCTACAGAGAAGGCGGGAGGAACCCCTGCGGCCCCGGGGGAGCCCCTCAACTGCTCTGCCTCCCGCAGCTGCCCAGGTATCACTCCCCTGCCCCCGCCCGCTCTGCTCACCCCGCCCCACCCCGCCCCGCAGTGACCCCTCCAGTGACCCCCCACAGTGACCCCGCCCCGCAGTGACCCCGCCCCGCAGTGACCCCTCCAGTGACCCCCCCGCACTGACCCCGCCCTGCAATGACCCCCTGCAGTGACCCCACAGTGACCCCGCCCCGCAGTGACCCCCCGCAGTGACCTCCCCCGCAATGACCCCGACCAGCAGTGACCCCACAGTAACCCCGCCCCGCAGTGACCCCTCCAGTGACCCCCCCGCAGTGACCCCGCCCTGCAATGACCCCCTGCAGTGACCCCACAGTGACCCCGCCCCGCAGTGACCCCTCCAGTGACCCCCCGCACTGACCCCGCCCTGCAATGACCCCCTGCAGTGACCCCACAGTGACCCCGCCCCGCAGTGACCCCCCGCAGTGACCTCCCCCGCAATGACCCCGCCCCGCAGTGACCCCACAGTAACCCCGCCCCACAGTGACCCCGCCCCGCAGTGACCTCCCCCGCAATGACCCCGCCCCGCAGTGACCCCACAGTAACCCCGCCCCACAGTGACCCCGCCCCGCAGTGACCCCTCCAGTGACCCCTCCACAGTGACCCCCTCTGCAGTGACCCCGCCCCGCAGTGACCCCGCCCCGCAGTGACCCCCCCCGCAGTGACCCCGCCCCGCAGTGACCCCCCGCAGTGACCCCGCCCCGCAGTGACCCCCCCGCAGTGACCCCCCCCCCGCAGTGACCCGCAGCGCCCCCTTTTGCAGAGGAGGGCTCGGTGCGGGTGCGCGGCGGCCAGGACGGCTGCGCGGGCCGCGTGGAGCTGTGGCACGCGGGCGCCTGGGGCACCGTGTGCGACGACGCCTGGGACCTGGCGGACGCGGAGGTCGTGTGCCGCCAGCTGGGCTGCGGCGGGGCCCTCAGCGCCCCCGCGGGCGCCGCCTTCGGCCCGGGCTCGGGGCCCGTGTGGCTGGACGAGGTGGGGTGCCGGGGCAGCGAGGCGGCGCTGGGGGGCTGCCCCGCGGAGCCGTGGGGGCACACGGACTGCGGGCACAAGGAGGACGCGGGCGTGCGCTGCTCCCGTGAGTGGGCCGGGGGGCCGGGACGTTTATAAGCTGAATGGTTGTGGTTTCCGCATTGGGGGGGGCATCTCTTGTTTCTTACCCCCAACTCATGTCTCCTCCCGGGGCGTGGGGTCCCCTCGTGTCCAGTGCAGGGCGGTGGCCTCCTCCTGTTTGCAGAGAACAAAGGTGACCGCCGCGGCCCCCAGTGTGGGTGTCTCCCTGGGCAGGAGCTCCAGCGCCCTGGGTCTTGTCGCCGGCGGTGGCGGCTCAGGAGCCTCCGTTTTACCGAGCGGGGAGGGGGCCGCCCCAGGAAAGCGGAAACCTCCAGCCCTCACCGGCACAGCCAGGCAGTCAGGGTGCTCTGTCCAGCAGATGGCCCTCAGCAATGCAGAGGCCGATGGAGGCCCCGGAGGGGGAGGGTGTGGCCTGGGGGCTGCCTTCTCCCGCTCGGCCACCAGGAGCCCCTCGCGCTCTCTCTTCCGCAGAGCCGGGCCCCGCTCCCCGGCCGAACCCGGAGCCCTGCCCGACGCTCCGGGCGGTCAGCGCGGTCCTGGGCGCCCTCCTCGGCCTCCTCTTCCTGAGCCTCCTGGGCCTCCTGGGCCTGCTGCGAAGCACACAGGCCAAGCAGAGAGGTGCGTGCGCCTGTCGGGCCCCATGGCAGCACGGCAGAACCGGTGGAAACTTAAAACTGGTGTTGGGGTCCCTCACGTGGGTTTCACTTCAAGGGAGTGGCCCTTCCTGGCCAAACAGAGACTTAGAAATGAGTCCGTCTCAGGCCCCTGGGACTTGGTGCTGACCTTAAGCCAGTGGTCGGCAAACTCATCAGTCAACAGAGCCAAATACCAACAGCACAACGATTGAAATTTCTTTGGAGAGCCACATTTTAAAAAATATATATTTTATTGATTTTTTACAGAGAGGAAGGGAGAGGGACAGAGAGTTAGAAACATCGATGAGAGAGAATCATCGATCAGCTGCCTCCTGCACACTCCCGTTGGGGATGTGCCCACAACCACGGTACATGCCCCTGACCGGAATCGAACCTGGGACCCTTCAGTCCGTAGGCCGACGCTCCATCCACTGAGCTAAACCGGTCTCGGCGAGAGCCACATTTTTAAAAACTTCTTCTAACGCCACTTCTTCAAAATAGACTCGCCCAGGCCGTGGTGTTTTGTGGAAGGGGCCAAAGAGCCGCAGTTTGCCGACCACGGTCCTAGGAGGTCCCCGTGGAAACCACCTGGCTGCTCCCTGGGCAGCAGCATCAGGCTCAGCTGAGAGCGGGCTGGGGGCCGGGGGCGGGCGGGCACTGCGGGCCTGGTCCCATCACTCTACCTCCCAGGCCCTGCCCAAAGCAACCTGCCTTTCTGCTGCCCGAGGGGTCCCCCCGTGAGAGGCCTGCGCACCCCCCTCCCCCAGCCCACGGATGGTCCACCGGGGTCTGCGCTTCACCCTGCCCCCCTCTTCCTCAGGCCTGGGAAGTTCGGAGGCGTCTCCCGAGGAGCCCACCTATGATGTCATCGGGGAGCCGCCTCTCGCGGGGGTGTACGAGGAGGTCCGGGAGGAGCCCCAGGGTGAGGAGGACCGGGGTGCGGGCAGGGTGGCCACGGCAGGTGCGTCTGCGCTCCCAGCTCCGGAAGCCGGGTGGGGGGTCCAGCGGGTGGGGACCTTGGGGAGGGCGTGTACTTGTGCTTCCTGGAGGAAGAGCGTGACAGAACCAGACACGTGCTGTGACCGGATGATTCGGGCGCCCCAGTGGTGCAGTGTTTTTTGTTTGTTTGTCTTATTATATTTTTATTGATTTCAGAGAGGAAGGGAGAGGGAGAGAGAGAGAGAAGCATCCATGATGAGAGACAATCATTGATCGGCTGCCTCCTGCAGGCCCCACGTTGGGGATCGAGCCTACAACCCAGGCCTGTGCCCTGGCCGGGAATCGAACCGTGACCTCCAGGTTCAGAGATCGATGCTCAACCCCTGAGCCACGCCGGCTGGGCTGACAGGGGTTTTTGGCGACATCGCTAAGCTTTCCTGCCAAGACAAGAGGGAAGTCACCAGGCCAGGCCCCTGGTGGTGAGTCAGACGTGGCTTCTGGGCGGTCGGTGACCTGGGGCCTCGCGTGCCTGTTTCAGAAGGGACAGCGAGCCTCAGGGACGAGCAGTCTGCGCCGGAGGAGGATTACGACGAGGCTGCGTTTCCCCTGGAGGAGGTGACGCTGTGAAGACCTGGGGGTGGATGTGCCGCTGACGGTGTGGAAAGCACAGCTCGCCGGTCCCCTGGATGATCGGGTTGAATCCAGAACAGACAGGAGCCTTTGGGCCTGTCCTCAAGCCTCTAGTCTGGGTGAAACCCCCGTCTTCCTCCCCCTGCCCCCTCGCCCCCATCCCTTCAGGGAGACACACACCTGCAGGCTTCCCGTGCATCCACAACACAAGCACAAATGCCTGTGGAAAGCCATAGTTATGGTTCCGTTTCTCTGACGACATATGTGGTGAGCCCTGGTTGGTTGCTCAGTGGTTAGAGCATTGACCCTCGCACCTGGGTTGTAGGCTCGATCCCTGGGCCTGGTGGAGGCGTATGCGGGAGGCAATCAATTAATGTGTCACACATGGATATTTCTCTCTCTCTCTCTCTCTTTTAAAATATATTTTATTGATTTTTTTTTACAGAGAGGAAGGGAGAGAGATAGAGAGCTAGAAACATCGATGAGAGAGAAACATCGACCAGTTGCCTCTTGCACACCCCCAGTGGTGTGCCCGCAACCAAGGTACATGCCCTTGACCGGAATCGAACCTGCGACCCTTGAGTCCGCAGGCCGACGCTCTACCCACTGAGCCAAACCGGTTTCGGCTGTTTATTGATTTTTGAGAGAAAGGAAGGGAGAGAGAGAGAGAGAGAGAGCATTTTGAAACATTGATCCGTCACCTTCAGTACTTGCCCAATCAGGTATTGAACCTGCAAAGTAGTTATGTTCCCTAATCAGGAATCGAACCCACAACCTTTTTGGTGTATGGGACAACACTGCAACCAGCTGAGCCGCCTGGCTGGGGCTGCTTTTTCTTTTTTCTTATAAACTCTCCTTAATTGGATCCAAAGTGTCCTGTTGCTTTTCTACATGTGAAGTCATGTGGTCTGTGAATAAAGTCAGACCCTTTCCTTTCCTTGGTACCTTTAACCTCTCTCTTTTTTTTTAGCCTTATTTCAAGGGCCAGCCCCCTCCACCCCGTATTGAATATGGCAGCACAGAGACCACGTGCCTCTCCGGGCTTTAGAGACAGTCCCGGTTTCCTTTCACCATTAAATACAGTATTGGATGTGTTTTTGGCAAATGCCATTTATCAGCCGAAGGGATGTCTGTGTATTGCCAGTTTTCTAAGGGTTTTGGTTTTTATCATGAACTGCTGACTTTAATCAAATGCTTGTGCATCTGTTAAGATTACACCTGATTTCCTCCCCTTTGTGGGCAACGTGGTGAGCTGCATTGATTGATTTGAAAATGTTAAACCAACCTTGGGTTAAGCAAACTAACCTCTGTCATAATATATTTACTATTCGTTTTATATATGTATTACAGGGATCAGTTTGGCAATACGTTGGATCGATATTTGGAAGAGGGCTTGATGTGTAATTTTCCTTTTTTGTAAATGCTTCTGTTTCATTTCTTTTGGTATGAAGATTATTTAGATTTTCCTCTTTTAAGAAATAATTGCAAAATTTTGTGTAGCACTGGTTTTATGTCTTCCTTAAATGTTTGGAAGAATTTGACAGACAAGCCATCTGGGCCTAGCATTTTCTTTTTTGGGAATTTTCCTTTTCATATTTAATTTTTAAAACTGTAGATAATTGAATTATTCGTGCTTTCTATTTCTTCTTAGATCTCGTTTGTGACATTCTTTTTATCAATGAATTGACAATATCATCTGCACTTTAAATTTGTTGACATAAATTTCTTTGATAATATCTTGGTACTATCTTTTTTAAAAAAATATATATTTTATTGATTTTTCGTAGAGAGAAAGAGAGAGGGATAGAGAGTTAGAAACATCGATGAGAAAGAATCATCGATCAGCTGCCTCTTGCACACCCCCTACTGGGGATCTGCCCGCAACCAAGGTACATGCCCTTGCAATCGAACCCCGGACTTTTCAGTCCGCAGGCCGACGCTCTACCACAGAGCCACACGGGTCCCGGCTTGGTACTATCTTTTTAATATAGATGTCTATAACACCTATACTTATGTGCCTTTTTTCAGTGCTGATATTGGTACCTTGTGACTGCTCTGTTATTTTTGATCATCTGATTTCAGTTTCACTTGTTTCTGCTCTGATCTGTATAATCTTTTTCTTTCTACTTATTGTAGCTTTCCGGTAGTGATAGTTAGACCACTTATTTTCCGCATTTCTTCTTTTTAATGTATACATGCAAATGTATAACCTTTCCTTGTAATGTCGCTTCGGTTCCATTCCAAGAGTTTTAGGCTGTATTTTTGTTTTCGTTTTAACAGCTTTGAGGTTAAATTAGCATACAATAAACTTCATATATTTACAGTATGTAAGTGGCGAAGAGTCTTGACACACGTACATTCAGGAAGTGATCAGAGCAATCACTCCCCAAAGACTTTACCTGTCCGTTTGTGTGACTCTCTCCACCCCCACCGTAATCACTGTTCAACTTTCTGTCGCTGTAGAGTACTTTGTATCTGGGGAATTTATATAAGTGGAATTATACAGCATCTACTCTTCTGGGTGTTGGGGCAGCGGCTGGCTTTTGCTCACTTGGCATAATTATTGTGTTTAGAGATTTCCCTTCGAACATTTTGTTAATAAAGTTTGCAGCTAAATGTATAAGAGATGTTGGCATTAAGTTTTCTCGTATGTCTTTCTCTGGTTTTAAAACAAGGTTAACCCTGACCTCACAGAATGAGTCGGGCAGTATTCTTTCTTGTTTAATTTTACCAAAAAAAGTTTGTGTATCGATAGAATTGGTTTTATCTATTTCTTTAAGTTTTGGCAGATTTTACCAGTGAAGGCACCTAGGCCTGGAGCTTTGTTTGCAGGAATGTTTTTAACTACAATTTCAATTTTTAGTGGATATAAGTTTATTGATTGGGGGAGGGGGGGTTGGAAGGTGGTGGAAGATGCCAGAGAGGGGAATAAATGGTGATGGGGGGGAGAAAGACTATTCATGTAACTTATTCCTTTTTGGATAAGCTTCATTAGATTGTACCTTTCAAGGAATTTGTCCATTTCGTGTATGTTTCTGAGTCTATAGGTATAAAGTATTTCATAATATTCCCTATTGTCATTTAATACTTGAACAATGTGATTGATAATAATACCTCAATATTCGTTCATTAATGACAACAGATATATCATACTGATATAAGGTGCTAATGATAAGGGAAACTGGGTGTGAGCCCCAGATGTACTTTCTGCATGGTCTGCTCAATTTTCATGTAAATCTAGAAGTGATCTAAGCAATAGTCTATTTAAGATAAATTCCCGTCTTTCCTGCAGGGTCTGGTTGTCTGAGATACACTCAGGGGAGAGACCCTTGGCAAACCAGTGGTCAGTGAGCTCACACTGTTAGCCCCCCACCCCACCCCCCAGCTCCGGGGGGGGGGGGGGACCGGGCAGGAGCCCTGGCCCTTCTCTGTGCCCTTCAGGGTGCTGGCTGTGCTCGGTCGGGGACTGTGCCCACAGGGGTCCCTGTTTACCTGTGGGTGGGAGTCCCTGCTCCCAGCACCTCAGCCTTCACCCCAAAGGGACAGGCTGTGCTTAAAGATCAGCAGCCAATGAAGGAGTCACCAACCTTGGGAAGACGGTTCACACTGCACCCCATTTTCCGCCAGAGTAAGAATTCCCTGCGTCTTCTCCTGAAAACGTGCAAGTCTTCTATTTAGGCAGGAGGCGACCCGGGCTATGCCATTCCATTCCAGTCTTGCCTTTTGGACAATAGTCCCTCATTTTCTTCTAGATGTTTCTGAACAGACAAATTTGTTCTTGCCTTGACCTATTTTATTGGGGTGGGAAATACCAGAATCGCTTTGCTATGCCTTTTACTTCCGTTTGAAATGGCAGAACCCCCAGCACCTCCGCATGTCTGCTCATTTGCGGCCTATCTGAGCCAAAGATCAGCAGGAGGGAGAGCCCGCAGTGTGGGCTGGCTCTAAGTGGGTCAGGTTCTTTAAGAGAAGCCGGGCCCAGCAGGGAGCCTGCTGCATACTCCTGCCTCATGGGAGTCTCACCTCCCGAGGGAAGGCCTAGAGTGGGCCATGCCGAAGGGGCAGCTGTGGTTTCCACTAATGGACTGTGGCCAAGGATGACCTTCCCAAAAGAGCTGGAGGAAGGGAGAGGGAGAGAGAGAGCTTTCCCCAGAGAAACTTCAATCAGCTGCCTCTTGCATGACCCCCTACTGGAAATCCCACAACCCAGGCATGTGCCCTGACTGGGAATTGAACTGGTGACCTCTCTGTGTAATGGATGATGCTCAACCAACTGAGCCACACTGGCCAGGGCTAAAAGATTGATCATTTTAAAGTATCTATTTATTAAAACAAACAAAACAACAACAACAAACAAACAAAAAACCACTCACATAGTACAAATACTGCAAAAAGATGGCCCAAAGAGTTGAATAAAGTCATTGCAACAGCCATAGCTGGTTTGGCTCAGTGGATAGAGCATCGGCCTTCGGACTGAAGGGTCCCAGGTTCGATTCTGGTCAAGGGCATGAGCCTTGGTTGCAGGCACGTCCCCAGTGGGAGGTGTGCAGGAGGCAGCTGATTGATGTTTCTAACTCTCTATTTCTCTCTCTTCCTCTCTGTAAAAAAATCAATAAAATATATTTAAAAAAATAAAAAATAGCTGAGACCGGTTTGGCTCAATGGATAGAGCGTCGGCTTGGGGACTGAAGGGTCCTGGGTTCGATTCCGGTCAAGGACATGTACCTTGGTTGCGGGCAAATCCCCAGTAGGGGGTGTGCAAGAGGCAACTGATGGATGACTCTCTCTCATTGATGTTTCTAACTCGCTATCTCTCTCCCTTTCTCTCTGTACAAAATCAATAAAATATATTTAAAAAATAATAATAATAATAAAATAAATAAATCATTGCAACACATACAACTGACAAAGGCCCATGAGCCGATATGGAGGATTCCCGTAAGCACTGGACGACAGAAACCCCACAGGACAAGGAGAACTCAGTGGGAGCAGGCTCT